GCTCCAATCTCGTCCTGGCACGTGCCAGAGTGGCACCGAAAGCAAAGAAGAAGACGATCGCCAGACTGGAGCTCATGGGGGCGCTCTTGGGACTGCGTCTAGTCAAGAAAGTGTGCAGCGCTCTTGGGAAGGAGCTATGTGAGGTCCATTTCTGGTCAGACTCAATGGATGTCCTCTGCTGGATCAGAAACGAAGTTTCTAGGTTTCAAGCATTTGTGGCCCACCGAGTGTCAGAAATCCGTGAGTGTACGGTGCCGGAGCAATGGCAGCACGTACCAGGCAAGGAAAACCCAGCCGACGCGCCGACAAGAGGACTGAGTCTCGAGGCGCTTCGAGGTCACAGGCTGTGGTGGCATGGGCCGGAGTTCCTGGTGGATGAAGACCGTACATGGCCGACAAAAAGACACTTCAGTGATGAAGATTTTGACAGAACCGAACTGGTCAGACGAGAGCAAAGAAACACGTTCGCCATAAGAGCTCCAGCCTCAAGCGCGGAGTTACGACTCCTCCCGGAAAAGTTCTCTAGCTGGACTAGGTTCATTCGAATCACAGCCTGGGTGATGCGATTCATCAAAGCACTGAAAGAAAAACTGAGAAAACGCCCAGCCAGATGTACTGAACCAGAGGGGCTAGGTCCAACTGAAGTCGATGAAGCGGAACAGTTCTGGATTAAACGAGCTCAGGAAGAGTCATTTTCTGAAGAAATGAAGCAGCTGAAGACAAGTGAAGGATCCGGTGTCAAAAGATGTCGTCAAAGCTCAGTGAAGAAGCTGTGTCCATTCATGGACGAGGACGGCATACTCAGAGTTGGAGGCAGGCTACAGCGCTCCGACTTGAGCTACAGCGCCAAGCATCCTGTTCTGCTTCCAAAGGGACACCCAATCAGCAGACTGATAATTTGTCAGCTGCACGAGGACACTGAACATGGCTTAGGTGTAGAGCACACCTTGGCCAGCTTACGAACGCGCTTCTGGGTGCCTGCTGCGCGGGAGATGATCAAGAAATGCATTCACCAGTGCGTAAAGTGTCAGAAGCTCCGAAAGTCAGCCGAGACACAAGTGATGGCGCCCAAGCAAAGCAACCAAGTGAGAACGCGCTTCCGCGCCTTTGACAAGACGGCAGTTGACTTTGCAGGACCATTCCTGACAAAACAAGGTCGTGGAAAGGTCAGGCAAAAACGGTACCTGTGTATCTTCACCTGCCTCCAGGTCAGAGCCGTTCATCTGGAGATGACGTACGGGCTAGATACATCCAGTTTCATTCGGGCTCTGATGAGATTCATTTCCAGAAAAGGCGAGCCCTCAGAGATCATATCTGACAATGGAAGAAACTTCACACGGGCTTCAAAGGAACTGCAGCAGTCCTTTCACGGATTGGACAACAGTCAGATCCAACGTGAACTTCTGAAGTCACGCACGAAGTGGACGTTCATTCCTCCTGGTGCTCCACACTTCAATGGAGCGTGTGAAGCAATGGTAAAGATCGCGAAGAGAGCGTTGATGAAGACTCTCGAGCATGCTGACCTCTCTGATGAAGAGCTGCAGACAGCGTTCTGTAAAGTAGAGGCGCTGATGAACACAAGGCCACTGACGGTGTTATCCAACGACCCAACTGATGACCAGCCGCTCACGCCAGCCAACTTCCTCGTGGGTCACACAGCAATCGAGATGACAGTATCATCAGATTCCAATGAGGCGGGGGTAAGGCAGCGCTGGAAACGTATACAACAGCTGTCAGCAGAGTACTGGAGGCGATGGCTCAGAGAATATCTACCGTCGCTACAGCGGAGACAGAAGTGGCTTGATCCGAAACCCGACATAGCACCTGGTGACGTGGTGTTGGTGGTCGACCCGTCTTCTCCACGAGGAAAGTGGCCGATGGGACGCATAGACCAAGTGATGAGAGGTGACGATGGTCACGTCAGAGTGGCGTCTGTGAGGATGCGAGACAAGATCGTCACAAGACCAGTCACAAAGATGGTCCGACTGGATGTCAGCGGCCTGCTGGTGTAGTTGTTGGATTGGGAACAATCCAAAGTGAGGGGAAGATGTTTGGGAGGATTTTATAGCAATGAGGCTCGAGCGTGAGCTGCTCGAGAAATGAAAAAAGATTTTTACTAGAAATACAGGAGTCAACATGAAGTGTTAAGAGTGTTTAAACCGTTATTAAGTACTTAGCAATTTAAGCTGGTTTATTTATTAAGTATCACATTTATTTAAGATTTAAGATTACAAAACACAACGCGAGGATAGCAAAACTATAATTACAGGGCCTAATCAGAACCAGTTGCCCACAGTAACAGCAATGCAGTCGCCTTCTGCTGAATCCAGACATCAAAGGTTAATGACCTTGACCTGACCTTCACGTGAACTTGACACCTACCATAACCCGCGCCCCGCTGGGCTATTCAGCCATACGCGCCCTGCTGGGGGGGGGGGGGGGGGCAGACTCTGCCCCCCCCCCTGTCTAACTTCCGAAACCGATGGTCGTAGAAAGACGGGGAAAACTGCAATCGAAAGCTCTCAACAAGGCGGGTCTTAAGAGCCCAATTTTTTTTTGCTTAAGTAGGTCAGAGGTCAGGTCAAGGTCAGGTCAAGGGTACAAAATGTAAGTTTCTTCATTATCGGCCTTGCACCGTAGTTGCCGAAGAATGGACTGAGACTGATTGCCCAAAACGTGTTCTTAGACTACCAAAACAATATTTGTTGCATACAATGTCATTCAAAGGTCAAGGTCAAGGTCAGGTCAGGTCACCAAAAACAAAATATAGAAAAGGGCATGTGCGACCAGGGCTGCGGAGTCGATGGATTTTCGGCGACTCCGACTCCGACTCCGACTCCGGCTTTCAAAAACCAGCTCCGACTCCGACTCCGACTCCGGGCAGAATTGTCGACTCCGACCGACTCCAACTCCCGACTCCGACTCCGCAGACCTAGCAGGGCTGCGGAGTCGACAGATTTTTGGTGACTCCGACTCCGACTCCGGCTCGGGTTTCTAAAATCGACTCCGACTCCGACTCCGACTCCGGTCACAACTGTCGACTCCGACCGACTCCGACTCCGACTCCGACTCCGACTCCGACTCCGCAGCCCTGTGTGCGACACATGTTTTATAAGTCATGTTACTCATAGAATTCAATAGGCACACTCAATAAGTGATATGGACCACCTCTGGATGAATTTCAGGTCGAGGTCAGGTCAAGGTCAGGTCAAGTGAGGTCAAATTTTGAAGTTGGTTGTTAAGGCCTAAAAAGGTGTCTATCTAATGCAGTTTCTCACGGCGAATCGAATGGTGCTATTTTTGTTTCGGTACAAGGTCTAGAACTTCCAAAAAAATCATTTTTCAAAATTTTTGTGTGTCGTGACGTCATAATTTTTTTAATAACTCCCACATTTTTGAACCGATTCTTCTAAAAATTGGTATTTATGTGCACACTGCACATAGACCACTTCTCTGACATTTATTCCGTTTTTTATACACTCAAAATTTTGGATTTTATAATTATTTTCCCAAAAAAGTCAGTTTTTTGGAAAAAAAATTGGGCCAAAATCCAAAATTTTCAAAAAACGAGATAGCCATTTGATAGAGAAATTAGAATCACGTATTAACTTTTTTGTTACGTCTTGATTCCTTTAAAAATGAAGATGTTATCGGCGTTTGAAATTTTGCCGTTTTTGAGGCGAAAATGGCGAACATGAAGTCACTAGTCTAAAACGTCAATTTCTCAAAAATGTTCCGACGGATTTCGCTCAAATTTTCAGGGAACGTGTCAAATTGATGTATGATAAGGTATACTGTAAGTTTGACGTCGCTGGCGTAACGCGTTTAGAAGTTATAGGCGAAAAACGGGAGGGGGGCAGATTCTGCCCCCGCCCCCCCCCCCCCAGCGGGGCGCGGGATAATGCATGGGACCAACATCATGTCACATGTTTGAACATTTAAAACCACAATAAAACTGGAATCGCTCGGATAATGTGGGCCAACATACGCTGAATCGCGATTTCGGCCAGACATGATCTCGAGGAACAGGTCATAGGTCATTTGGGTCAGGGCCATGCAATTTTTGGGGTAGGTGTTAAATTAATCAGCTCGAGGGTAGGTACGGAAATTTTCGTCGTGGTTGGCCACTTTTTGCGCGAGTTATTCGCGAAAACTGAAGGGGTCCGTTCGACCCCCCCCCCCCCTTAAATGTGCGGGGGTTAAGCTTAAGTGTTTGCAAAATATGAGACTTGTAAAGAACATTGGTCTGCTTTTGATTCGTCGTATCTTTTACTTTCTAATCACGCGATAGGTAATTGAATAGGTAGATTAAAAGTTCTAAACGACTTCAGTTTTTTATATCATATATAAACATGTTAAAGTTTCAAAATGCTCGGATAGTCAGCCTACCGAGGTCGGTCCAACTATGTATTATATTCTTGCTAATTCTTTAGAGAGGAAGAAAAGAGAGTTGGTACACCTGTCTTCACTCGAACGACTTGTTGTACCTATTGATAAAAGGTTCCGTGTTGTATTACGATGCAATTTGCATCGTCTAATGTTTAACGATAAACCACACACAGGCAACGCCCATTTGAGGTGGTCCTCACTCCTCATTCACCTCACTCACACAGATTACTTACCTTAGTACACAATACACATTCCCTGAGTTCGCGCGCGGCATCTGGAAAATGAGAGAAAATTATCCGGGATCACCATTAAGGGATGGTGCAGGGATCACGGACGGGATCACGTTGCAGAGACCATCGATGCAATTGGTCGCATTTTTAGATTGCCTTTGCTTCACTAATGGCTCTTTTGCTGGTTGTCATGTGCGTTGTGCACGGTGTCAGCCTAAAACACCGAATGCTCCCGGTGATCCCGGAAAATTATCCCTCATTTTCCAGATGCCGAATAGACGTATTGTCTTCTCATTTTGCGTGAAACACACCAACAGCACATTGCCACCTCTTATACCTGTCACGTCATCTATCCTCCCTCGTGGCCTTTCATGGGTGCAGGCTTCGGCACCAGAGGGCAGCGGAACACCGGCTGTCAATGGAGCACCATCGGGCAGCGGAGCACCATCGGGCAACGGAGCACCGGCCGCCGGTGACGCGCCGGCCGTCCCCAAACCTGGCTGCTGCGGTGACCACGGGCCAACCGCATGCATCGGGGGTGAGTGTATCATGCAGCATGTATACCGTGATCCCCGGGTTACCCTTTTCACTTTCACTTCGGGATGCTGGGACCAGAAGAAGGGAACGTTTATACTTGATAGACATCTAAACGCTATAATCTAAGATTCAGACGCGCCGTTCTGATAATGGCTTACTGTTTCGTCGAATCAAGTCAGGACAATCGAGATTCCAGACGGTACGTGCTCCTATGTATGTGTCGTGTGCAGATATTTTTTACATCCCCGCTAGCGCAAGGTCACTAATAGTTGGGGAAGAACTAGGGAACGTAGAGCTGTGAACATTGGACCATATAATGCATCGTGCGGTTGCCCCGTGTGCACTCGCATTGCGCAGGACTATGGACCTCCCGTGAAATGACTGACATGGAGGACCGTGAAATTGTTGTTCGCACCAACCTGCGCGAGCTGATCGTCTACCTAGTGTTCCTGGCGGTCGTCAGCATCCGTGAGTGCCGTCACCATCCGTGAGTGCCGTCACCATCCGTGACTGAGTGTCCCGGAGATTCTTGAGTGATCCGAGCACTCGTGAGAGTCCTGAACGTGAACAGTGACCATCTATTTTAGGAATAACAAATGGTATAGTAGTTTCTAACCCGCGCATGGCTGAAGGACTCCCTTGAGCTTCCCTTGCCGTTTTTCTGCGATATCTTCAAAACCATTAAAGGGGTAGGTACCTATCAAAACGAAACTTTCAGTACCCTCGGCTATGCTTATCAATTTGACACCCTGTGCCATAGGTTGCCTAAGGAAAATTTCGTAGCCTATCATAGGTCAGATGATTATGACGTCATTATTGGCCGATTTTGATGCTAAACATGGGATCACGACAATCGCACCCAAGAGGCAAAGCCTTCAGGTAAAAGTTAGAACTGATTTATTTGCATTAGATGAAATAGAACAAACTGGGCCAAACCGCTACCTCAGATTTTCCACTTTTTTATTTGGGAAATTATGGGTAGGTACTCGCAAATGAAATCTCAAATAAAGTTTAACGTATACCTTAGTTTATGGATGCTGGTGCTAGTGCTACGCACGAATGCTGTCTACATCCAAAAGATTCGAGGGAATAAGACACATGTGTCTTACATCGTGTGTCTTAGACACACGAGAAGCTGCAGCTTCTCGTTTCACGCCAGCAATACACGTACGTCGGCCAGGCTGCTGCCAGGCTCCGGCTGTTGAATTTCATACATTCTGTTTTTTTTTCGAAAAACAAAAAATAAATTTAGGTTAAAATTGCAAAAAAAATGAGTTTTGACGCATACCTACTTTTCAAGAACTTAAAATCTCAAAAATCCGAGTTGGCAGGTACCTACATGGAATTGTTTTTTGTTGTGTGTGTGTTTTTTTTTACAATTATCTCATGCAAAGCAAGCAAAACAAACTTAAAAATGGAACTTTTGAGAGCGATTTACGTAGAACCATGCTTTTCATCAAATTGACCGAAGATAACGTCACTCTGATGTCATTGCCGGCCGGCCTGTTGAGAACGCCACGTTATCTCTTTGTCAGTCTGTAAAATTGTTGCCGTACTTCTTATGCAACGTTTGGCGGCTCTGCTAGCTTGCGGTCAGGATATATGAAGGAGAGAGGACCGGGGGACCGTTTCGCCCCCCCCCCCCCAAACGGGGCGCGGGTAAACCCTCGCCCGTATACATATGGTGTTCCACCAGCCGTAAACGTAATGGGGGAGGTCCGTTGGACCCCCTGATTGAGCTAGAGCTTCACAGTCGCCCGTGACAGAAGGAGGCCGATGGATACCCAGGTTAATGGTTCCAGGTCATTGGTTGACCGTCCAGGTCAGGCCAACCAGTAGGCGTTATTCAGGCTATCCATAGTACCGATGTGTCAACCATTACTGATAGCTTTGTAACATGTTATTGTTACACCAAAACTACTATGTATATGTTTAAACGGGCGCGAATCAGCTCCAAAAACTATACAAGAAACAAGTTAAACATGAAAAAGTGAACCAAGGTCATCAAAGGTCAATGACATTGACCTGACTTTCACGTGACACCTACCATATTCATGGGTGGAGAATGTTTGAAAAAGTTGCCCCGGCCGGCGACCGATAGTCGCGGGAAGACGATATACTCACGTTGTTCTCAACGGTCATCATCAAACCCCTATTCTGACGCATGGAATAGGATTCTGTGTTTGCTCAAGGATGAGCGTTGTATCCGACACCGTATTATTCATAACATTTTTGGAATGATCGAAAAGGCAATTTCCTTTTAAATTATTATTTCTTTTTACTTAAAGGTAGTGTGCCAGCTTTCTTGGACCGTATGGAGTTAATGGCCCAGATAAGGAGAACCGGATTTTTAGAACTTATCCTTACCTTCAAAACTCATGGAAACGTCTTAAATTCTTCAAATTTTGAGTACCCCAGTGCGAAATTCGCCCCGACGGGTTGTCGGTCGTACCCCAACCACATTTCACACCACTATGAACAATAAATGCACACACTGAAATCGCTATTACCGATATGCTCATCCAATCAAGTTTCGATAAACCCGTTCATCATCATCTCCTGCGGTTTCGAACACGCCTGTTAGGTGGCTTCTGATGCTCGTCGAGGTCGGAATTTCCAAATACGCGTGGTGCGTCGGGCCGCGCGCTCTGACTTCGGCCAAGAAAAATGCGTCAGCTGATCATTGTCATTTCTGCCACTTGCGTGTGGTGAAATGGGGTCATAACTTATAAGACGGCTTTTTCATATCAATTATTTTACATAAAATCATATTTCAAACCATAAATAATGTTCGACAGCCAAATAAAAGAAACAATACCAATACGGGCTTACAGTTTAAGGCTCGACATTGTGTTGTCTACGATTAGACAGCTGATAACTCATTCCCGTACGTCGTATGGTCGTAACACTATAATGACCTTTGCTTATTGTCACAAGTGCGCCGCATTCGCGATTGTTGCCCGACGCCTGTTTGCAGGTGAGCCCACTACAGTTGTTATACATATCTAAAAACCGAAAAACTTTTAGGCGAAAAAGGCACTATTCCAGGCCCATTTTTGATTTTTTTGCGATATTAGGTAAAAACAGAAGCTTCTTATCCTAGGAAAAATAAAATGGGAAATCTTTCAAAGGTGGCACACTACCTTTAAACTTCCAATTTCACACCGAACCCAAACCAAACCATATGCCATTTTGAGTACCTAAATGTTGCGTTTTCAGCTTTTTATTGTGTCTCAAAATAGCTACAAAAAGACAACTCACCATAGTAGAAGCTTTACAGAGAAATTGACAGATCGAACCAAGCAAAGCACTAAAATAACTAGGTCACTGACATCCACGGGCGTAGCCTTTTTCAATGTTGGGCGGCTCTTATAATACAAACAGGGAGTCGATCCAGGAATATCGACCGGTCCCGGTCTCGTAGCTCAGTTGCTAGAGCGTTGGATTCCGCGTGGCGAGAGCACGCGGCCCGGTTACAACAGTCCGAGTTCGAAGCATGATGGCCGCTCGGTGTTTATGAGCACCCTGACGGGTACGCTCATAAACGGGTGTGGTTGCGGTTGGTGACAGGTCAGTTGAAGGCAATGAGGTCAAGCAGTAGTTTTGAAAAAGTGCGCCGAAGGCGCGCCAAAATTTCGAAACTGAACAGGATTTGAGAGCAATCTTGGCATTGGCGACCACACGCGGGTCTTAGGGTTGGAGATTATGGCAAGTTAAGTAAATGGTAAATACCTACCTGATTTGCAATATTACGCCCATGGAAGTCAACATTCGAAGAGCGTGAGTTTTCTTTTCTCGTATGGAGACAGCTTTTAGGATTTACAAGAGTAGAAAAGTTACCCCGGCCGCGCCGGGGTAGGTTGAGAGTTACCCCGGCCACGGCCGGGGTGGCCGGGGCAGGTTCTCCACCCATGAGTCCATATTGCATGGGACAAACATAATTTTAAGTGTTAACCCGCGTCCCGTAGGGTTATCGGCGGACCCTACCAACCGATGAGGGCCGAAACGCTCTCAGAAAGTTACCGGCCGATTATCAAAATTCAGACGGTGTTGGATAGTCTTAACGAAGAACTAGCTTGTGACCTAATTTTATTGAACTCGGCCATACCGATGACGTCACAGATCAGGTCAAAGGTCGAATTTTCACCGTTTACAGGCATTTCAAGAAATGTGTTGTAAAATCGAGTAAAAGGGAATACCATTGAAAATCATCGTTGGGGAATTGTCCGTCAAACACATATTTTGCTATTTGAGATCACTGAAACGAGGTCAGGTCACTAAGGGTCACAAACACAATATGAAAGTGTCATGTGATACATGTTTTAGGGTCCATTTTACATGACAAACACGATTATGTGTGTTAGGCGACCTTTGGGTTCAGGTCAAGGTCAGGTCAAAATAGGTCAAATTTCAAAGTTGATACTTTGCATAAAATGGGTATCGATTCGATGCAGTTCGTCACGGGGAGTTTAGGTAATGGGTGCTCTTTGTTTTGCGCTACGTGCTCTAGAATTGCTAAAAATTGAATTTGAAAGTTTGAAGTCATCAATTTTGAAGTTTTTTCACTATAACTTGGAAAAAAAGATGTATCGATATCAAATTTGGTATGTAGATAGAACGCGGTATGAGCTATCATAATTATTCCGTCATTTTCGAACTTCAAAAAATATAATTTATTGGCTAAAATATAAAAAAGTTTTTTATGTTAGGGGGTCAAAATCCCAATATTTTAAAAATCCGAGATGAATGTTTTGTAGCCCTGCTCATTCTATACTTTTTATGTCTTGAACATTTTTCTGCATCTTCAATGCTGTAGGGCTGACAGCTCTTTCCGCGAAACCTTTTTTGGCGGTCGAAAATTGCAGATCATGACGTCATTCTGACGTCATTTGAGGCCAACCTATCATAGCCTCTGTAAAAATGTTTAGTCACAATGCGGAAAATTGATGTCCGGAGGGGTCCTGAAAGTTTAGTGACGATATATGCAGCCGTTTGGGTGATATCGACGGAAAAGGAGAGGGAGGGGTCGTTTCGCCCCCCTCCCCACGGGGCGCGGGTTAATGAAAATAGACAGGCTGACAGTATAAATGCAGCAAAGACGTTGCGTTAATCGTTATTCTAAATCGTCATTTATCGTAAATCGTTAATCGTTAATCGTTAAATCGTTATGAGCTTAAAATTAGACACATTAAAGGGACACTCCCACCTTAACATTAGTTTTGAGTTGAGATAGCCAAATTGGTGGCCATGGCCTGCAAATACCGGTTTGGGCACTCACAACATCGAAAAATGCTTTAATTCGAAGATATGGAATTTCAAACTTGCAGTTTTCGGATTCTAAGGGGCTAATGCATTGGAATGCCCCCTTAGAATTTGTGACGTCAGCGGAGATCTAACGATTTTTAAATCTTAGACTAAAACCATCGTTAACACGTGGCGGTATACGCTGCTTTGCGCGCAACGTCTGCCGCACTTTAAGGCTGCCAAATTATTGCTTCCAAATAAAGTCGCTAGTAACAGGGGAGATCCCAAAAAGTAAACAAAAGTAAAAGCCTAATATCTTGAAAACCAGTGAATATTTTTCGGTGAAATTTGGTAGATATTCGTTTTCGCTCTTTCTGAACCAAGGGACATCACTTTCATGCCAATTCATTAACTTTTTTGAAGGTGGGAGGGTCCCTTTAAGTCCGACGTTTCGCTGTGTTCGCTTAATCAAAGGTGACAAACATTCAAGGGCGAATGTTTGTCGCCCGTGAGAAAGCGAATACAGCGAAACGTCGGGCAATAAATGTGTCTTAAATTGATAACGATTTAACGATTAACGATTCACAATAAATGACAATTTAAAGTAAAGATTATCTAACGAAAGGTCTTTGCTGCATTTATGTCATAATTTCAAATGTTTGAACGTTTACAACCACAAAAAGACTGGAAACGCCCGAATAATGTGAGCCGACACACGCCGAATCGCGATTCCGGCCAAACATGGTGTCGGAAGTATCAGGTCAAAGGTCATTTAGGTCAGGGTCATGAAATTTTCAGGGTAGGTGTAAAACTGATCAACGAGGATACTGAAAGTTTCATCGTGATCGACCGCTTTTTGCGCGAGTTATTTGCGAAAACCCAAGGAGGGATCCGTTCGACCCCCTATTAGCGCGAATATTAAGTCATATACATAGAGTGATCCATTGGGAATTGTAGTTGACTCTTTGCAAGTTTAATGATTCTTTCTTTCTTTGACTCTTTCTCATTTTCCTTTACCGAGCAGTGGCTGTGAGCACAACTTCACCTACCATGTTCTACTTCACAAAAGCTCTGTCCGAGCTCTTTTTGGACGCCTCTTTTGCCGACTCCGATGGGAATTTCAAGGAATCGACTCAAATACTGGATTTTTGGAGAGTAAGTACCAGACATAGGAGCTCTTAGTCTCACCGTTTATTTTTGGACACTTCCTACTGATATGTATGACTGTCTGTATGACATAAGTCTGAATGACACGGGACACCTCAGAAAACGTGTACATAGACAAATCACGAAATCCTTCAGCGCGCCTCCATTTCAGACAAAACATCAAACAGAAACATTGGCAATTATAATAACTACATTTAGCTCGTTACGAGGACATTGTTACAACTGGCGAGTGGCGACACAGAGTGTGTGAGCAGAATGCTCCGAAGATGTTGTTTCATAATCTGACTACCTCTGCCTATTTCATGAACAATCGATAACCGATCCAAAAAGACGATACAATACATACATCAAATATGTGACGCAGATGTGGGCGCGGCGGCTACCTCCGTGGGCTACTGGGCTGCTCCTTCGCTGCGGAGACGCCCCACTGGTCGGTCGGCGTGAGCAGCTCTCTCCAGCGGTGCGGCCGGCCCTGTCTGATGCCGGCCTCGGCCAGCATTGTGGAGAGGACGAGCGCGGCGGGCGCGAGCATGATGCCCAGTCCCACGGCGTCCGCCCAGACGGGGAAGCGGCGGCCGCCGTACGAGGCCGGCTGGTGCAGGTACACGGTGGTGGCCAGGCCCAGCAGACAGACGGCCGGCACGGCGAGCCGCCACGAGAGCCGCCAGTAGGCGGCCAGCGCCGGCGGCAGGCCCATCTCCATGTCGCTGCGCATGTTGCCGATGAGCCGCTCGGCGCCATACACCCAGCCCACGGCCACCGCCTGCAGCAGCACCACGAAGAACAGCGAGAACGTGAAGGCGTAGTGGTCGACCAGTGCAAAGATCAGCATGCCGCCGTCCATGCATACACTCAGGTTGGAGAGGAAGAAGAGCACACACAAACCGACAGCAAGATATCTTTTCTGCTTCCTCAGCGATGGCCATTGGTCAACAGCGGCAATCACAAGCGCCTCCACGGCAATGAATTGCGTGTCGATGCCGAGCGAGACCATCATGACGAAGAAGAGCGCGCTGAAGACGGGCGGCAGCGGCGTGTGCACCATCATCTCCGGGTAGGTCATAGGTGACGAAAGCCATGCCCACGTCCGAGGTGACCACGCGGCCGACGTCGCGACACAGCGTGTGTGCCAGCGAGCCGAGCATGGAGAACACGATGAGCGCGGCGATCACTGAGGTGGCCGTGTCGACCAGCGACACCAGGATGGCGTCGCGCATGCAGTTGTTGTTGAGCCGGTTGAAGCTGCCCATCGCGAACAGGCCGCACTGGCCGCAGCCCAGAGAGTAGAGGACCTGGGCGGCGGCAGCACTCCACAGGGTGGGGTCCTTCAGCTGGGAAATATCGGGCTTCATATTGAGCGCGATGCCTTCTGCAGCTCCGTCAAGGCCCGTCAGAATCACCACCAGAAGGATAAACATTATTGTATAAGGCAATAGTACCGTAAAATGCAGTATAGCTCCGAATGTCTTGATACCCCTGAATATGCACGCGCCCACTAAGAACCAAGTACACAAGAGATATGCTGTTATGTCCCATCGGATTGTTCCAACACCATACAGATCGTAATTGTTCATTCCCAACACATGATTGTTGAAATACTCCTCACTGGCAAGTGCACGATTATTCCCTAGGCGATACACCAAAGTGTCATTGCCGCTTAGGAACAGACACTCGCTGTTTGGCTCCGCGTGCCCCTCGAGAAGCTGGTACGCCGGGTAGCAGGTATTGTTCCAGAACACGTCTGCCCCCGAGCTGGCGCTGCGACACCGTTCGTCTCCTGCCACAGTGAAACACCGCGGCGAGTTGTAGATGTGGCCGCAACGCGACCACTCCAGCTCGCCTCTGAACGACGCCACCAGGAACGACAACACCCAGGTGATGGTGACGTTGTAGTTGAAGCACATGAGCGTGCCGATGATGATGATGCCGTAGCCGACGCCGGAGAACAGGGGCGCCAGCTGGCGAAACAGCACGTTGGGCGACTGGCGGGCAAACTGGCCCAGTGTCACCTCCATCGTGTACATGGGGATGCCGAGAACGAGCAGCATCACCACGTAGGCGACCACGAAGGTGCCGCCGCCGAACTTGTAGCACAGGTAGGGGAAGCGCCAGAGGTTGCCCGTGCCGACCGAGTAGCCGATCAGACTGAGCAGGAAGTCGCACTGCGAGCGCCATCGGTCTCGCGGCGGCTGCTCAGCCATGACGCTCGACAGTCGCAGAGCTGAGTGCCTGTGACCGGGCTAGCGTCCTGTGGCCGATCCTGTCGTGAGGTGCCTGAGACGGGTTACCGGCCTGTGCTGAATTGAAGTCTCCAGCGAACGAGGGCCAATGAAGGCTTGCAAAATGCAAACCGACACCATGCGCCGGAGAGCCTCGTCAATACGAGCGACGCCGTGCTTATCACATTGTCCAGATCTTTGAGCACAACCCTGCCTAATTCTTTTTTGTCGCAGATTTTATGTCGAGTGCTGCTCACTAAACGTTCACCGAGGCTTCATCTAAATTGGACAGGATGATGAGTCACTTCACGTAACGCGTTCGACTGCACTTCAGCTCCTGGTTGGATCACGTTTAATATTCATCACCTTAATCACTGCTAAAGTTGAGCACAGTTTGTGTTGCCACACGTTGGGAACACCACACCGGCACCGCCAGCACGTGCCTACTCTCGTCACCAAGTCGCAGTGTCGACTGAACACTGCGCAGGATGCAGATTACCTTGCCCATCGCGGGGCGCAGTCGCCCTCGGAAGTACAGTGTCTCACAAACCCGGTACAGAAGGTCGGCAGAGCGCTCCCGCGGCCGCACGGCCAGGTTTGGAGAGCGCTGAATTGCCGCGGGCTGATGGTGTTGTTGCACGCCGGCTGATATATTGCTGGGTGCACTGTCAAGGCCGGCAGGGCCCTTTAGGTTGCAACTTGCAGCGATTCATGGTCAAAGTGTCAGGTGACCGACGGTGGTCGCACACAGGTGAAGCGGAGCCATGGTGAGGTAGGGACTAGGGAAGCTCCCGTTCACGGTCTGGGGCTGCAGCTGAGCTATTGCGGCGGGGAAGTAGCCACGAACGGATCTGACACGGATTCGGTCTCAGAACACGGATCTGTTCGGCCGCTACTTGATTGAACTGATAACTGTTTTTCATAGTATCACTTTGGGTTTGAATCGTGTCTCAGGTGAGGTGGCAGTTAGCCCCGAATGAATCGCGTAATTCACCAAACTACCGAATAAATTCACCGTATTTACGATCGGCCTAAGCTCGGAACCGGTAACGGTACAGAAGAGATGATCCGTAGTCCGTATGAACAAGTGCCGACTTCCGGAAGGAAAAGAAGTGGGAGGCATGTTGTCTGATGTTTCTCCCAATAACTTAATAATTATTCCGAGTAACGACAAGCGGCACGTACAAAGTACATTTTAAAGCTTTCAAATATCACACACCGCGCTCTATCGCTCACACAAAAACCATAAATCAAGCCTTTCTACGTTTAATCAATGCCAACTTGGAAGCTTATCGGTAACATTAAGTCATTGATATAAATTCAAAACTTTACCATCGCAGCGAAAATACTCCTTGCCATGATAACAATAAGGTAGGCATATGTATGTATTTAGCATTTTTTGTTAAAAAGTGTGCAGAATGATGATAATAATCTGCAGAGTGGGCATAAGGTATATAGGCGTGCGGAGCGAAGTGACTATTTCATTCAAGTTGATTAGCAAATAGCACTTCAGTTGCGTCTGAACCGACAAGAGATGACAAATGCCTATATGTAGGCATGCCATAAAAATGCCCTTTATACCTACGCATCGGCAGATATGCGCATTGTGCAATATAGGGTGCAAGTGCATGATGTATCGCATGTATAGGTATTATTTGATTGGGCAGTGGGCTCGTCCATCATGTACTTTGTACTGGGCTGATACCAGATATCTGTCGAAGATTCACTCAGTAATTTCAATTTAACAACTTTTTCCAATGCCACACCGTTTATTTATTTATTTATTTATTTATTTATTTATTTATTTATTTATTTATTTATTTATGCGGGTCTTTGAGGTACCTAACCAAGACATGACTGGCTTTTAAACCAGTGTCATATACAATGTGCAACCGAGGTATAAGATAGGTAAAAAACATATTATAGTACACAAACATTGAAAAGGTTAAAACACGTAAAAAAAACATTGACACGCTAGCATGAAGACTGTCTGACATGAAAACAGACTGACTGCTAGCACCCAGACTGTCCTAGTCCTAAGAGCTCGATGAGAACGGGATCTCCAGGTCAAGTGACCTTTTCCCTCCCGATGACTGTGAAGGTAAGGTATGAAAAAAACTAGCAAAAAAAAGTTGCGTGTAAATTGAGTGGAGCCAATTACGCACTGCTCTTCGGTGCCGTTTGACCGGTGTTGGCCCCCGGCCGCCTCATGCTGTAGTTTGTGGAGGGTCCCCTGGTGGATGGCCTCTACTGGGAGACGTGGTATGACCTGGAGCAGACCAAGCTGGACGACAGCGAGGGTGGCATCGACATCCTCTACGAGAACCGGCTGCTCGGAGTACCCAGAATGCGGCAGGTTGGTGGAGTGGTTGGTGCTCTGTGGGCTATGAGGACTGTTCGGGACGATACATCGCCCCGATGATTTCAGGTTTCCCTCTTGCGAGCTGTGCTGTGAACAGAGGAAATGTAGTTACATAAAGTATACCTATTAGTATAGGTATTCCTTAGTTTGGGTGGTTTGCTCGGAGCCCTGGCACGGACCCCTCTCCCAGTCCGCTGACGGTGCGACCACGGCCGCTCGCAGCTGCAGGTACGCAGCGACTCGTGTCGCGTGGCCGACGACATGCGCGCCATCATCAAGGAGTGCTACGCCGAGTACAGCTGGCTGACCGAGGTCAACTACAACGACTCTATCGGCACCGGCAACGGCACCGGGTGAGCAGCTGGGATCACCCCCCACCCGCCTCCTCCGCCGCCAGCGGGGGATGGGGGACCGCGGTGGTGTCTGCAGGTTCAGTAGCGCAACTGTGTGACTGCCCAATGCCCATATAGCTGGATGAGGCTTACATAGCTACATAGGTTTTGATCTCCTTAGAATTGTGTAAATATGCGTAGATCGTACTGTAAAATGCAAAGATTTGTACCGTATTGGTACGGAATATACCTACAGCTTACGACAAATATTGCGTGGCATCGGCGTCATGCGTACAGCAGTTCATCGTCCATCAAACTGTATAGCTTTCAGCATCCCTGTACCTTTACAGACCCGTTTACCTACCTGTTCGTTCATGCCAACCCTGTAACAAACGCAACGGTGCCGGACGACGTATCTGACTGCGTATTGACCTTTCACGTCCTCCTCCCCCTCAGCTGGCGCTACTGTCCGGAGGACGAGTTGGAGGGACACCCGTTCTGGGGTGAGATCAGCACCTATTCGGGAGGCGGCGCATACGTGGTGAGTCACCGACTCATCGGTATTCCCCGCCGATCTCGTCTGACTGTCTGCCCTTGCCGGCCGCTGTATTGCATCATCGCACCACTTAAAGGTTAAAACACCGCTGTTTTGAAAGTCAGACTGCAAGTTGACATGTGAAGAGTCCGCTCCGCTGCTGATACAACAGACGCATATGAACGCTTAACGTCTGTGTGACTGGCGCGCAGGATTTGTCACACAAACGAAACGAGACTGTGGATATGCTGGCCCGCCTCCGCCGCGACCTATGGATCGGCCGAGGGACCCGTGCCATCTTCATCGACTTCACAGTCTACAACGCAAACATCAACCTCTTCTGCATCATCAAGTCAGTCCGAGGGGCATTTTCGCTGGCTGTAAAGAATCGTCGTATGAACCAACCGTCACGGTGTACAGTCGTATGCCTACCATGTGCACACACTTAATCGGATGTGCTAGTTGTTTCATGTTTGTTTGAAGGATTATTTCTTACATAAGCATCGTATAAAATTCTTAGCAGCCCTTTTTAAACAATTTCATTCATTCATTCATGCATGCATTTATTCATTCATTCATTCATTCATTCATTCATTTATTCATTCATTCATTCGCTCATTCATTCATTCATTCATTCATTCATTCATTCATTCATTCATTCATTCATTCATTCATTCATTCATTCATTCATTCATTCATTCATTCATTCATTCGTTCGTTCATTCATCGAACTTCGGTCTACTCTTCACTCATGTGGTCACACATTCATTTATTTATTCATTCATTCATTCATTCATTCATTCATTCATTGGTGCAGTCCGTCTCCATTGAAATGTCCTTTGCCCGTGCGCTTGTTGCACAGACTGGTGTTCGAGCTGCCCGCCACGGGCGGCATGATTCCGTCGTCGTCCTTCCGCACGGTCAAGCTGCTCCGCTACGTTAACCCGTACGACTACTTCGTGATGGCGTGCGAGTGGGTGTTCATCCTGTTCACCGTCTACTACATCATAGAGGAGGTCTGTAACACTGTCTGCAGCGACCGGCAGCGACCAATGGTCAGCGGGGAACAGACGGCGTGAAATGTGCCGGTTGTGATTGTTTACATAAACGTATTATGTACCTATAGGTATGCAAGCCCAATGCTCCCTTTGGTTCAGCAATCAACTCCGGTAACTTCGCTGACCAGCTCCGGTAATTTTCTATTCACCCTTTGTAAGAGTGGTCGGGCTGTGATAACCGTGATGTTCAATCGGTTTGTAAGCTGAGATTTCAATCGCTAATGAATGTGATATAAATCTTATAAATTGCATAACACCGAAGTGTGTTGGTCAGCGCTCTCTGACGTGTTTCAGATGTTGGAGTTTCATGGACAAAAGACGAAATATTTCAAGCATTTCTGGAACCACCTCGACATGCTAATGATTTTGATTTCCATTCTTTGTATCGGCTTCTCTATCCATTGCACGAAGGCCGTCAGCGATAAAATCGAACTTCTACTGAAAGGTGACACTTCATGCACATTATCCCTGCATATCCAACTTATGACAATGCATTGAAAACAATTGTATACAATATGCCTCAAGCCAACCTCTAAATCGCGAATCTCACCATACTTCTTCAAACACGACCGTTCTGTTGCAGATGATTTGCAGTATCCCAACTTTGAGCAGCTGGGCTTCTTCCAAACGCAGTTCACCAGCGCCGCGGCACTCTGCGTGTTCTTCGCCTGGGTGAAGCTGTTCAAATACATTAGCTTCAACAAGACCATGAACCAGCTGAGCAGCACTCTGTCCAGGGTCGGTGACTGGCCCGGGCGGGAGATCAATTTATCGTTTTATGCTTTTGTGGTCTACTAAAAGTAAAATTGCTGCTGTGCTAATTTCATCCATTCGTATTTCGACATGATACATTATCTCTTACATGCTTTTCCACTTTAAATCGATTGTTTACTTCAAATGATGACCTAGCATCTACAGTACGCACAAGAAATGAGATTTACGTCTTTCCAGTGCAACCGAGATATGTGATTCACTTCGTTCACAGAACGCATGAGATGTCATGGGGATTTAGGACGTCGTTTACAATACGACCGAGATATCGTGAGCAACTTACGCCGTTAAAATGTGCTTCATATAGCATTACATTGTTGTTTACAGTGCGCACGAGATATCATGGGCTTCGCGATTATGTTCTTTATCGTCTTCTTCGCCTTCGCTCAGCTCGGGTATCTTCTCTTCGGTACTCAGGTATATAATATCCAAGCCACTCAAGAACGCACCATTTTAAGGTGCTAAAATATAGTTATCTGGCTACAATTGACGTAATATATGTAATTAAGTTCACGGATTATTATAGCTTAGATAAGCCTACTTATTTAGTTCGCTCATACTCTCCAATTTATTGCCAGATCATCAGGTAGCTCATCGTATTTTGATTGAATTGATCGACACTGCTTCCGTCGATACAGGTTCGCGACTTCAGCACATTCACCCGAGCCACGTTCACTCTGCTGCGAACTATCCTCGGAGATTTCGACTTTCACGAGATAGAAGCGGCCAACCGGATCCTGGGACCGATCTTCTTCCTCAGCTACGTGTTCTTCGTCTTCTTTGTGCTGATGGTGCGTTTTGTGAATTTTTCATTTAATGCGATAGCTAGCACATTTAGAGGCAATAATTATTATATATACCATCCATACCGCATGCCTACATGGTTGATTGTTGTATGCAGTGCAGTTCCATTCGCTCATGCAGTCGATCTCTGCGTTCATAAAATTCCTCTTTGAGCAGCCTTTTCGCATAAACATGGTTATTACGTATGCTAACAGCTGTCACTCCCTCTTTGGCAGAACATGTTCCTCGCAATCATAAACGACACATACAGTGAGGTAAAGAGCGATCCGTCAGCGCACAAAAACGAGTTCGAAGTGGCCGACTACTTCAAACGGGGATACAACAATGTAAAAGGTATGCGTACCTATTGATCAAAAGCTACGCATCTAGCATTTACAAGGTTTAGTTACGTGGTTGCGAACGATTTGAGTGGACAAATCATATGTTATAATTGATAGATCTCGGTGAAATCTAGGCATTCGTTTATGGATGTGCGAGAAGAAGTATCAAACTCGCCTTTTCCATGCGTTTCCACGTATTCCCTTTGTTTATTCGTGGTCCACGATGACTCGAGGGACTTGCGACAGGGAAACTGGGCAAGCGTGACCGTCTGATTGACCTGGAGACGGCGCTGAAGCTGATCGAACAGGAGGAGGACGGCAGCTATTCGCTGGACATGGTGTGGCACACCATGAAAAGGTTAGCGAACCACCACTGCCCTTATGGCCCACCATGGTCGCCATTCCATTCAATGGTTCCAGTTCCACTCACTTCCTTCGCTGATAGCTAGTGAATGGTTGGCGTTAAAGGGACTATCCCACCTTTAACATTGGGTTTGAGTTGAGATAGCCAAGTTTGCGGCGAGGTTCAGAAACCACTATCTATCTAGGTTGCAACCCCCGCGGCCTCTTGGTGTTGAAGAAATTCGTTCCCTTCATTTGAAAATGGGCCTTGTACAAGGCCCTATCTTCAACATGGAGCGACCGTTAGTGTGACGTCACCTCGTTTAGTCATTCTGATTTAAATGGGTTTGTTCGTTGAAAAATCGCTTAAAACTTGGTCTGAACTTTGTTGTGGTGCCTACAGAGTAAAAAGAATCAGCTTTATGACAGTAATGTGGCCTGGGGAAGGAGGTAATTTTGGGCTGTGACGTCACATATTTGAAAGTTTGTGTTTGGAATATGGGAAGCCTAAGATGTTTAATGAAAAGTAAATGCCAGAACCGTGTTCCTGGTCATCCAATCTATAAAGTCGGGCACAATTTAACTGGTTTTAACAACATTTTAGAAGGTGGGATAGTCCCTTTAAATCAACCCACTTCAAATGCCGCTATATGAAACGACTGTCCGTCTGCACACATCGCCGCATCTCACTTCTCTGGCACGAAAACAATATTTTCAATTAAAGCCAACTAAATGGAAATAACATGAAACAAAACAAACCGAGAAAAACATCACTGAAAATGTCATATAGGTACTTGATACCTACTTTGTAGTATGTGTTCGTGTTCGTGATGGTCGTGTTATGTAAAACTGTTGTGTTTGTGGGGGCCGCTGCAAAGGCATTACCCAAATAAACGTCATGTCATACTTAGCTGTGGATTCGTTACAAGATTCCTTACCAATATAGGTAACCTGTGCTGATAAGTGATAACTATAGCAATGTCACTCACGTGCTGCCATCAGGTGCAACTTTTCGGACCAGGAGATAGACCTGTTCTTCGACCAGTACCACCTGGGCGGTGACGGTGCTCCCGTGCCCAAGCCGCCAGAGGCTGACGACGAGGAGGAAAAACCACAGATTGACGGTCAGTGTAAATGGATGGACACGGTGGAAAACTGAGTTGTTATCTGAAAGACATGAATGAAAAGACGATACCTTGTGGCAAGCCGCGATGGAAAACGCACAACAAATAAATCTCATTTTCTTCTCTTATGACCATCAATGAGCCCCATTTCACCCACCCAACCCGGTCTCTCGCTGACCTGCCGCTGCCGCCCCGCTGGTCTGCTCCCGCTACGCCCGTGCAGTGGTGCGTCTGCACCGGATCGTGTTCGGTAACCTGTCGCGGGAGGCGGCCGCCGCCAAGCTGCGCGGCTCGCCCGTCGCCGCCGCCCGGCACCGCGACTCCGAGGCCGGCGGCGACACAGAGATCGAGGACGCCGAGTACGGCGACTACGACGACTATGATGACTATGACGACTACGACGACTACTACGACCAGCCCGGCGTCAGCCCCGAGGAGTTCACCGAGTGAGAGCTTTTTACAGAACGATGCTTACTCTTTAGTTACTCCTCTGGCTAACTATTCCGTCTCTGAGATCGCGATAGTCTGACAACCAAAAGGGCTTTCCATCACTTCCTTACATAACGATTTGACGTACACGTCAACGGCATACATATATCTGGGGCCGTATTCACGTCGACTCCGTAAGTCGATTTTTTTTTTCGTAAGTATACTTTGGTATTCACGTCGACACTTAAGTTTTTATCGACGGAGTTCACGTGAATAAAAAAATAGTTAAGAAGTAGGTCAAACTTAAGAAAATTCTTACGAAAATGATCGACGTGAATACGGCCCCTGATCATTCACTTCTTTTGACGGGCGATTACAGTGTAACTTCTATGTTTCTCACTCCACCAATAAGACCACTCCATTAGACCAATCCATCTGTTACTGCGCCCCGTTCATTGCGTTACTCCTGTCCCTCCGCCCGTTAAGGCCTTCGCTTTATCCGCTGATTTCCTGTGACTGCTGCTCTACAGGGTGACTGAGCGGCTGGATCGACTCGAGAAGAGCCTCACCACCATCACCTCCAAGATCGACTCGCTGCTGAAGACTGCGGGCGGAGGCGGAGCGTCGCCCTCCCCCTCCCCAGCACGGCCGCAGTGATCAGGCACCGCTGAGGCGGCAGGCTCTCACGGAAGTCAAAGTGTAATCGGCTGCGCATATTCGCGAGGTACCTAATGCATAAGTATTAAAGTGACCATCCCACCTTAATGGCCAGGCTACACTATGCGTTTTCTGCGTGCGTTTTTTAGGTTTGCGGGTTTTGCGTAATATCGTTCTAGAATAAAAACGATATTAAGTTTTTGTGATGTTTTTAAATTAAATTTTAATATTATAAGAGTTATATTAACTTTTGTGCATAACTTATGCACAACTAATGTAAAAGTTATAGGTATTATTTATAACTTTTTCTAGAACGATATTACGCAAAAAACCGCAAGCCCGCAAAAAAAAACGCACGCAGAAATGCATAGTGTAGCCATCACATAGCTCATATCACGCTTGTGCACGCAACTCATCGGATGATTCTAAAGCAGAGGTTTTTCATTAACATCGTTCAAGTTTTTACGTTTATTTTTCCTTTTGCTATACTCACATACATATACATGCATTCGCAAAACACTTTTGCCTTTATTCTCATACTTATGTCTTTAACTTAGGCATTGTTGTCTGTCATACTTTTATTTTTAACTTATTGTCGCTTTTGTTTTCAATTTGAATGAATGTATCCATTCGCACTTGTGTCGCCTTTTACTGTCGTAAGTGTCGTAAGTCGTAAGTCCTTTATTTCCGTGACTTCACCTGTTAGTGGTGAATTTCTCTGTTAGTGAATAGTGGTCATCACAAATAAACAATTGAGACTGTGTGAAGTGTAGGTACATAGGTCCTACACGTCTGCCCATGAGCGATCGCATGGACCAAATATATGCATAACGGCATGACGTGTGTGTGTTGCATTCGTCGTTTATTTTCGCCTGCATCATGACATTTTTATTATGTTATTAGTTCACCCTCGCATGTGTAGGGGGGGGGTCGGATGGACCCCCCCATGGATTTTCGCGAATAGGGGAAGTTGGGGGAACGCCGAAGACTTTTTTTCTGACGCCCGTAGCACGCACGGTAGACAACATAAGCTATTCTTGTTGGCGTCATTCGAGAGGCCAGTCTTTTGCCTTTCAAACATACCAGGCGCATTTGATGAATTCGCATACCGTTAAGCGCACAAACTAAAAATATCAAAGAAGTGACTTTTTCGGCGTTGCCCCGGACTGCGGGGAAAGCCGAAAATGGGAGAAATGATCTACGGGGAATGCCGACATTGATGTTTTGCCATTTTATCTCAAACTTTATCCAGAATTGATCAAAGCTGACACGCGTTTTAAGAGCTTGAGGACGCGGTGCACACTGGAAGTTATAATTGTGTGATATAATAAGAACATGCCAGGTAAATCATTCCTTATAGGTAACAGGCCGTTGTGTCGGTTGAAAGTGTAATTTGTGTGACTAAAAATACGCGTTGCTATTCTACAGCAGTAAAGTCCACGTAGCGTGCTTTTAACACGTGCGTAATCGCACGTTTTCGGCATTACCCCAGCCTGCCATACTTTCATTTGCAGGCCCATAACTTTTCAACGTGCTGTATAAATTTCAAATAGGCAGCACACTTATGCAAAGACATGCTAAAGATTACTTGACCGAATTGGCCAGACAAACGGTAGCATAATGAGTAAGAAATGCAGCTTCAAAGGCGCATGTAGTACAAGGGAAACGTACCTTGAAAACGCTCTTGGCGCCCTCACAGTCGAAGTATTCCGAATGACGACTCGTAACAAACATGCGATAATTGTAGTTTAAGCTTCAGAGCATCACTGACAGGTGGCATCCATGTCTTACGGTTTTCGAAATATCTCGAATTTCGGCTTTGCCCCAACTCCGGCATTGCCCCAACTTCCCCTAACTCGCGTAAAAAGCGGCCGATCGCGACGAAACTTTCAGTAGCCTCGCATTCATCAATTTTACACCTACTCTGAAAATTTCATGACCATGACCCAAATGACCTTTGACCTGTGACCTCTTTTCCGAGACCATGTTTGGCCGGAATCGCGATTTCGCGTATGTCGGCTCGCATTAGCCGCGCGTTTGCAAGCTTTTCGTGGTTTCAAACGTTCAAACATGTGATTTGATGTTGCTCCCATACATTAGGGTGGGTGTCGAGGTCACCTGAAGGTCAGGTCAGGTCATTGACCTTTGGTGACCTCGGGTGACCTCGGTTCACTTTTTCGAGTTTTACATGTTTCTAGGCTAGTTTTTGGAGCTGAATTCGAATTTAGCAACCATTTGAACATTTACGAAGTAGTTTTGGTGACTTCGTAACATGTTACGAAGCTGTCAGAGGCGGTTGACACGTACTACGAATACCCGTCACGACGCCTACTGGTTGACCTGACCTGACCTGACCCGACCTGGTCTAAATGCTTAAAGACATCATCTGTGATCAAACTAACACGATATTCGTCATCAGCACCCCGAAAAACCTCTTAGCAGCCACACTTTACGACTTTCTAACAGGTCCCGATTTTCCCGACTTTGGGTCATTGACCTGACCTGGAAGGTCAACCAATGACCTAGGACCTTAAAATTTGGTATCATCGGCTTCCTCTCGTCACGGGCAACACGCTCGTTTTTTCCGCGAAGCTCTAGCTCGATCAGGGGCCAAACGGCAAGGGGGGTCCAACCGACCCCCCCCCCTACACATTAGAAGCTGGCAAACGCCGCACACATGCGAGGGTTAATGTGTACCTACCTATCAATGCCTTAACTTCTCGGTCTTTTTCTTTACAGATGTTTGATGTCACAACGCATCACGATCACCATGCTTCTGATGCAAATGAACCCAGGATTGTGTTTTAATTAGCACAGTTTTAAGTGAGCCGTTAGCCACCTAATAGCTGGCGTATTAACCGTTAACGTGGATGTTAACGTTTTGCTATGATTCATCGTTGTTCTGAAGAATGCCTACCGATTGTATCCATATGACGATATCAAATGGTAAAAGTGTTCTGCGGCCGCATGTTATTTCGGTTGAATAAACACATCAGCCCTTTTCACGCGTGTTCACCACCGTAGCAAATTCTTACCAAATCATCGTCCATTTTCATCAGAAGCTTTATTCAGGAACGAAACGGGTAGTAACCCAGTAAACATGCCGACGTCGGCCCGACGTCGGGCCGAGGCTCGGCCCGACGTCGGCCCAACGTCGGTTCAACCTCGGCCCGACATCGGCTGGACGTCGGATATGCCCGCATGTTCCGACGTCCAGCCGAAGTCCAGCCGACGTCGAGCCGACGTCGGGCCGAGATCGTTTGCCGAGGTTGACGAGATCGTTTGTCATTGGACCGACGGGGCCGACGTCGGCATGTTTATTGGGACAACGCGCCAAAAATATCAACCGGCGGCGGGAATCGAGCCCCCCAGTCGCCGACGTCGGCATGTTTACTGAGACAACACGCCAAAAGCACCGGCCGGCGATGAGATTCGAACCTCGTGTCATTCGAACGCGAGGTTAGTGCGTTAACCACTACACCACGCAGCCAGCTAACGAGATCGGTTTGTTTTGTTGGGTTATGCCCTTTCGGTCCGACAACACCATCTCAGAGCCGGAAGGATCATAGGATGGAGACATTGGTCTTCTTGGCGAGCACTCTGGGTCCAGTTCATATAGAGTCCCTGGTCCCATTGCTGTTACGTGACACTTATTGGAAAGGGCGACCCCACAATGGATTCATATAGCCACTCTTACACACCTGCACCAACGTTTCCCAAAGTGTCCCTTTGATAAGTGGCACTTTGGCAAAGTGACACTTGCCGACTGGCCTTTCTATATGAACTGGGCCCGGCCCTGGTGAGTTGCCGGGGCTGAGCCTGACCAAAGGATAGGCCGAGCAGCCCCCAAGCACTCACCGCACCCGGCTACGGGCGAGCTCGGCTTACGGGCAATCCCAAATGGGATAAAGTTTCCCGTCCAGTCCGGATCAGGGGGTTGCGGCGTGGAGGAAGATTTGGGTTTCCTGAGGATATTTTGAATACAGAAGCTCTTTATGAAACATGAAACATGTATTTTATATTATTTTAACGGTCAAAACAGCGGCCGATGTCGGTCCGAAGTCGCCCCGACGTCGGCCCGACGTCGGCTGGACCTCAGCAATTGATCTCGGTCTGACGTCGGCCCGATGTCGGCTGGACCTCGGCTGGACGTCGGAACATGCGGGCATATCCGACATCCAGCCGACGTCGTGCCGAGGCTGGACTGACGTCGGGCCGACGTCGGCATGCCGATGCCGAGTTGCCGACGTCACCCCGACGTCGGCCGACGTCGGGCCGACGTCGGCATGTTTACTGGGAAGTGCTTGGGCTCAAAGTCAGAGGCGGTATAGTTACATTCCGAATGCCTAAGGCCTGTTATTCCACATGCGATATAGTCTATAGAGGTACATTACAGCCCACCGCTAAAGTAATGTGCGATTTTACCAATCTCAACGGATGGCTTTGATTGGCGATTTTCTAATGCGGAGTGATCGAAAAGAAGACGTCAATAGATAAAGTTGCAGCTGCAAGGATGTATGTAAGCAACATTCAAAGGTTCATTGCAGTATGGCTAATCGTTCCTAAGCTTCAGAACTGCAAAACATACCTACTCATGACTGAAACCGCGCATTACTTCAGCTGTGGACAGTGGACTTTACCTATCGATTCAGCATCATTGAGTCAAAAAATAAGTGGCCCTTCTCGGCTGCCCTTCGGGCCCTTCTCGACTGTCGCCCCCCCCCCCCTTGCGAAATCCTGGATGCGTGCCTGATTACGGTACGTAGAAAATCAATCTATCACAATCTATCACTTGATGTAGAGAATTATCATGTGCAATATGAAACCCCTGATTCCTGAAGGCCGGCTATGTTGTGGAAATACAAGTAAAAGAAAGCTTTGACTTCAGTCCACTTCAGTGAAGGAATTATGCTACCACTTTTCTATTTGAATCACCTGCGCAGTCTGTGTCTCAGTTTGTATTTAGGCAAGTCTGCGGAAGTGTATTTTGGTGTATTTCTTTTGGCTTTGGTATTTATGGTATTTATATAGGTACGCGCGGCCGCGAAGTGGGGGAAGTTTGTAGATTTTACACAAAATATAGCACAAATATCATATAATCTCAAATTTCAATTATTAGGTAAGTTATTTCATTCACTTTTTTGCAGTTCAATGGCTACGTTCCATGGCACAAGCTAAGCCGATTTTGAAGAATGGATTTGCTCCATCATGACATTTAGGTATAATTTGAAAATGTAACTATAGGATTAGGTGCTAGCTAAAACCATATATATGCTCATTTTTTGCTTAAGGTAAATAGTTTCCGAAAAACGCACGTGAAATTTCGCTAAATCGATTTAGACGTCAGTTGGGCAAACTAGACCTTTGGAATCAAAATATGGAGGCATCAAAAGATTGATTCCTTATGACCATATTTGGGCATAAATGCAGACCATTTCTAACTTACCAATCACATAAAAATAAGAGAGTGTTTCAAGAAGGAGCATGCCTGACCTTGAACAGAAATGCTGGAACTATCTCCTAAGCAAAATAATATTGCTCCTATCATAACAATTTGAATTCTATAGGTAGTGAAAGGCAATCAAGAAATTGATTCACTTCATACAGATAATCATAATATTGATTCCCCATCAGCTGGCTAATCATTATTTTGATTCACAGGTAATGTTAACAGATAGGCAACAATGACTTGCAAGAATACAATATTTATCTTGCTATTATTCTCATTTAGTGGTATCCTCAGCACCACAACAGATACCTATAGCATTGTTGTACTTTACCTTCACTACGTTTGATAACAATTCACAATTTTTAAAGGTCAAGAATACAAAAACTGAAGCAACAGGTAAAAACCATATAATAAATATAAAAGCACTAAAATAATGATAATTAGGGGTTTGAAAATTTCATTTTGCCATTTTACACAAATACTGATTGGTTAGTATGTGATTCATGATACAAAAATAACATACAGTGTGATTTCCTCAAAACAGCTCTTACGTGATGGACAGTGGCCCTGTCTTATTCCCATTCACAAGGCCAAAGGGACAATTTCTTAGTTTTGGGGTAACACTTTTTGCAAACCTACCACATTTTTCTACCTTTTTAGAGAAAAATCTCACCGTCATGGGCCTTTTTTCAACCGTAACGATACATTTGAAGTCAAAAGTGTACCCAAATGAATCAAAAAATTGATTCCATGCCCATATTTGGTCATGGCTCCTCCCACCAGAATCAAATTATTGATGCACCAGAATCAAATTATTGATGCCTCCATATTTTGATTCCAAAAGTCTAGTTTGCCCAACTGACGTGTCATGGAAACGTAGTGATTATCTTGTCATTTTGTTGTTCATGATGCTATGCTAATGCCCTGAGCTTGCTTTACTTTTAAGGCTGAGCTACACTATGGGTGACTGTCCAGGAAAGTACGTGCGTGATCTGCAGATCCGTGAATGCGAAACTCCCTTGACATCGGCTTCTACGATTTTCCAAAATTTCCGTGAATTATTGTACGCTGACGAAATGATAACAACTGATAAATGGTTTCGCAACAAACGCTTAAGTTTGCTACCTACTATACTATTTTATCGATAAATAGTACATCTTGTTAATAAAACATCAAAAACACATGAAAATTAAAGAAACAATTATCAGTTACATCACTTGGATTCATACAGTGCGCCACCAAGTGCGCCAACAACTGCCATATCACGCAATCTCGCAGACTCTGCAAAAAAGTTTGTAGCTCTGAACTTTATATCAGTACGGAACATCCTGACTGTCCTGACTATCCAGCATTTCCTGTACTGAACGTCCGGGAGTTCCTTGACTGAATCTGCGTGACCCCAGTGTAGCCGACCCTGTGTATTTTCTATCAGCTGAACTTGACCTGCGTACCGATTTCCCGCAAAACCCTACAAAACGCAGATCACGGACCTAGGATCCCGCATAGTGTAGCCAGACCATTCTTCATTTGAGTGCAATTTCTATGCTTTCCTCTTCAATGGATCATGGTATTGTAGGTATTCAATTTTATTACATCAATATCAGCTAGGTTTCATATCCTCACATCATGATTATCATAAAGTGAAGATACGAAGAGCCTGCAATCTTCATAGTTTCTTCTATGAGGTTCATGCTAATGTGCACCATCGATATGACGATTTGTATTGTGCTGTTCCAGAAAGAGGGGGCAGTAGCAGCAGCGCCCGATCATGACATCCTCTCTGCCGGCGTCGGCCACGGGCGGCGTGCAGCCCATGTCCATCGAGGGCCGCTGCAAGAATGTGCGCGAGCGGCTCATCCAGATGTCGGCTGAGGACCGCAAGTGGCGAGCCCAGTGGCTCAAGGACCAGCACCTCTCGCCCAATGAGCCCAGGTCGGCAGGCGCGGGGGTACCCAACATAGACAGTCACTTTTTGACATGTGGCTAGAAACAACCCAGTCACATCAGCTGAAACCCACCATAACGTGGCTTACCTCATTGGGCAGTTTATTTCAATCTAGGCTGAACAGCTGGTACTTTTCTTAGCATTGCGTGGTTTTAACTTTGTATGCGGTCGATATTACTCGTGCTGGTTAAGCTGGCAGGGTTTAACAGCTAAATTTTTGCAGGTATGTTCCAGAGTACTTCAACGAGATCACAAATCCCATCCGCCGGTTTTACAAGTGGCCTCTCAACACGCTCTTCGAGAAACTGCAGCCAGTCATGGTACGTTCGTTCAGCGGTTTAAACGGTGTGAGCCGTGTTGGTCACACAAGCAGGTGCAATTGTGTTTGGTAATTTTAACGCATCCGTAAAGCGCGAAAAAATCGACCAATCCCTATTTTGTATTGAATGCTGATGAATATTGCCGAGTCAACGCACATTTATAGGTAGAAATGGTTTCAAGGCTCCAGCGCAAGTTTAATATTTAGCCAAATTAAAAGCTATGGTATTCTATCTCATACCCTTACTTACTCGTCTAGCCCTAATATGTATTAAACGGTAATGCAGTCTACTCGATTCCAGTTATGGTCGGTACCCCCGGATCACAGAGGCGCACTTGTGCTTTCAGGGCGTGAAAGGCGCCTTCATGGCTCGCTGGTACACAGGGAAAATGCTGATGTTCCTGGGATCTGTCTACGCCGCTCACTACTACTTCAAGTACTCGAAGAACGTGAGTCACTTTCACAGTCAGCAGTGGGGGTTCGACGGAGTCATACTTTTGGGCTTCTGGACAGTCGGGACTAATAGCTACATAGGTGTTTATAAATTTTCCTTTCATCGCCAATAATTGTTCTCGTACTTGGTTGTAAAAGCAATAAAGAAATCATTGAAAAATGTGTTTCCCTTGAAATTTTTCCCTTGAACGTTAGTTTTCATTTAGAATAACTTGATGTTCACATTACATGCGACCGTTACACATTTACACACGCCCCACGTTGTGATGGTTTTGCGACGTTCGTCGTAAGTAAGTAGATCTCGTTACATCACCGCTGCAGTTGGCCACCCACCCTCCTCACCGATATCTTTGGCCGCCATGTGGCCCACATGTGACGACCGCCACCCGCTGCCAGTTTTACTAGTATAACGTATCTCAAGTAGTTCTAGCCTTCTTCAGTTCGTCAGTTCTCTGTTGACATATCCGCTTTACCAGTACAGCATTATGGGCGCAAAATGATCACCGCAGTCGACGCGCCCGTAAACCCTAATGAACGAACGAACGAACCCGCTCCGCCGTCAGGACTGGACGCGCCGCGGCGGCTGGAAGGTGCACGTGTCGCGCCAGGCCGTGCTGCCCGGCCAGGAGGGCTTCCCCAACACGGGCGACCGCCAGCACCACTGGGACTACTACGACCGCGGCTTCCAGAACCGCTCCGTGTTCAAAGGAGGCGCCTATTGATCGGGAGCCCGCCGTCGCGCAGATGTGCTATATGAACCGCAGTGTGTGCTTGTAAATAATACATTAGGACGATATGTGGACGAGTTTGTACTAGAGTGACCAATGAGTTGCTGGCGTCTTTTACACGTGTATTGTTCAAAACGGATAGAAAACAACAACGTGTAAGAATATTGCTTGCATTTTCGCACACCACTAAGCGCCATTGAGCAGTAAGCACACTTGTAACAACCTACTGGGAATTGGACGAATGATTTCCATTCCCAGCCTTGCTAAAACAAAACATGATGGCGACGTTAACCATCATCATTCTACTTCCACATCCAATCAATTCATGCTAGACACTCCTGTCGCTTATGGGTCTGGTCGCTTTCAAGCATACAGCTCTTGGTCCGCGACACATTCTGCATATTGTCGATCTGCGTTTTCCAAATGAAATACTCTAACAATGAAAAATGCTGAGAGGTCCGACTGGGTTTTCTCCAGACACCTGCAGAATTGAAGGCAGTCCTGAGCCACTTGAATATCGGTCACCGCACCATACCAGCACATGTCACACACTGAAAGCCCGGCGCGCACAGCGTTTCGGCGAGGCACAGTCTGTTTCACTCGGCGGCTCGGTTTGGCCGCCGCCGGCCCGGTGTTACCGGTTGAAGACGGTGCGGCGGGCCACCTTTATTCGCTGGTTGGGCTGTGACAGCGGCGTGGACGGCGCGCCCTTTGTGAGCGCCGGTGTCCACGAGCGCAGCCCGCTGCCGGCCAGGAACACGTCCAGCAGGTGGTGCGGGCCGCGCAGCAGTGTGTTGACCTCGCCGAGCCGCTCCGGACTCAAGTCAGTGAGCAGGTACAGCAGCCGGCGCTCCGGGTCCACGCCGCGCACCAGACCTGCCCGGGCAAGGGGACACGTCAGACCGGTGACAGGCGCGGAGACACACCGGACCTGCCGTGGCACGGGGACACGTCAGACCGGTGACAGGCACAGGGGGTGGCGCACCAGACCTGCCGGGGCGCGGGAGCACGTCAGACAGGTGACAGGCGCGGGGACACGTCAGACCGGTGACAGGCACAGGAGGTGGCGCACCAGACCTGCCGGGGCGCGGGAGCACGTCAGACAGGTGACAGGCGCGGCAACACACCAGCCAGAGTGACGACAGACACAGGAACACGTTAGCCCTACCCGAGCACGAGAACACACTAATCATGTCGGCAGACAGAAAACCTAATTCAGGAACAGCACGTCTATACTCTAAATTGCCTCGATCACTAAATTCAATCACTTTTAGACAGAACTAACTCGAAGCTAATTAAACCTAACATGCCCTCGCGCAATGATGCAGGCTAACATAAGCATAGTCACACAACAAAGCGGAAAAGAAGTCGGTAAGGGTCAATACACATCACAGAAATCGCAGACATCTGAAAAGTCGCACAGATACCAAAACAGTTACCAGTTGACGGATCACCCGTAACCCCCCTCCTCCCCCCCCCCACGTGCACCCTCTCCGGCCCCGTCCCCGGACGGCGCCGTACCGAAGCCAAGGCATGTGGGCGTGTCGCGCGGCCGCGGCAGCAGCGCGAACATGGACGGGTCGTCGGGCCGCAGCCAGGTGGCCGGCTCGGAGCGGCACAGCGCCACCACGGTGCCGTTGACGGCGTGCATCAGGTGCGGCGGCAGCACGCGCTGACCCATCACCTCCACGGCCAGACATGACCACGCCACGCTGAGGAGAGAGCGGGCGGCACCCGGTCGGTCACGAGCAGCACGGGCGGCACCCAGTCGGTCACGAGAAGCACGGGCAACAGTGGTGTTGCCGATGATGATATAATAGTAAACTTTAAAAACGTAATCTATGAGGAACACATGACGTCATTCAACGCAAATCAGCTAACGAAGATCATGAACGCAACAGCTATCACAAAAATTTATCGTTACTTCAGTCGTCATGAGAATAGGTACGATACATTCAAAATAGATCAAATTCTACACACATGCGCATTACTGAACTGGGAATCATAAACAGCCAAATGTTGTGTGGGTTTGTAATTAATGCACCGAACAACAGTATACACCATTATTGCGTTTGGAGCTATCGACAGCTCAGTGTTTGTGAACTGACGCTGACTGTTGTCGACCGGTTGCTCACGAGAGCAGCACGTACCAGACACAGTGTTCTAAAATTGGATTTTGGTTGGGTGTGACGATGATGACCAAAAAATCTAGGATGAAAAAAAAAAACAAGTGAAAACCTATATCACTTTCGCAATAAAGGCGTAACACTACGCTGGCTGATAATAAAAGAACATACCATTCCTGACCACCAAAACTAACCGAAAAAGACGATGCAAATAGGTAAGGGTGATATACGGCAGAATTATAACTTTAGCATCTGATCGCCAAGTGTTTCGAAATCCGTCCCATTTTATCCCAACCTTTGTGTTTGATTGAGACTAATGAAGTTAAGAATCACCCTTGTCTCTTATACAGCTAAGAATGAATACCTACTTCAACCAGTGAGATTTCATTTTCCTCACAAGTCAAAATGCATTGTCACAAATCACAATTGAATGCACTGTCCAGTGGCCATCCTTCTCCTAGCCTTAAATCAATGCCTTCCTTTCCGTTTCAGATGCATCATGCAGACAGCAGATATTACCGTCAGCATCTGCTAAGTTCCTACTCATGCTTACTGGCACGGATCCAGGACGGTCCTTCTGCCTGTATATTTCTCCTAAAGAAAATCATCCGCGGACCTCCATCCTCGCGACGCCAGTCGCCATCATGCGAGCGAACTAGGTCTTTAAGAAGCAGAAGATGCAATGATTCTGTTGAAATCTGTTGTCATATCTTAAGGAGGGTGGGGGAGGGGCGGGTGAGGGAGCTCTCTCTATATGCAGGCTTTGGTACTAGTGCCATGTGGAGAAGTTTTCTTTCTTTTTTAAGCAAAGGAAGTGGGAAGGAACCTGTCTTTGTCGTTGCAAAGGGTATCATTCTGTCGTCCTGTATTATTGATTTAGTGCAGAGTTGACTCAGACTGTGTAATGCGTGAGGCGTGGTCATCACTGTGACACTGTCAGACATAAAATTTTAGGAAATCATGATACCCTGATGGGCAGTTTGTTGACGTAACTGATCGCTATGAAACCGGAAACCGTATAACTCATGTGTTCTGGCCTCTGGGACGTTTTGCGCCTACAATATGGCAGCACCGCTTCCAAGATTACTGTATATTTGAGATAATATGCGGCAATATAAGTATGTAGTTTTCGTTCGCATCTGATCTGGTAATATTCGTACAGTGTACGCAGTATAGCTTTGAGCTTTCCATTTTCAACAGATATGACAATGGCCGGATGATACTGGAAATGGTGCCTTTGCTCTGGGCACACGGAACGGGACGCAGTATTGAGTATGCAATTGCAGTCGCACTATGCAGCATGACATACGCCGGAAATCTCCCGGCCCGAACGCCGGAACGGCCAGCGATGGTCGGTACTCATTACGCATAGTGAAAATGGAAACGGTGTCAGCGCAACTCTTCGAAAGGAACGGTGCACTACATGAGACTAGACAAAGGGTCACTGATTAGGGCACCCCAAACGGAACGATGTGCACTGCACAGCATAATACGCAATATCGCAATAAAAAGCGTGCAACTAACCAGTAACCAGGGCATCCATATCGGAACGGAACGGGATGCAAAAAAAAAATGATAAAAGGATGCCACCGACCTCATGGCTGCCAACGAAACGGAGCGGTAGCTTCGTATCATGTCACGTGATAAGTGCTGAGTGAGAGCGTCAATGATCAGTGATCAGTGATCAGAGCACCCGCAACAGAACGGAGGGCATCAGTGATCACTGATCAGAGCAACTGCAACGGAATGGAGGGCATCGCTGATCAGGACACCCCAAGCGGAAGGGAAAGCGAGAGCACAACTGACCAGAACACCCGAAACGGAACGGGAGTGAACGGAACGCATTAGCGGCTCGCCGAATCGCGATTCCGGCCAAACATGGCCTCAAGAAACAGGTCACAGGTCAAAGGTCATTTGGGTCAGGAATATGAGATTTTCAGAGTAGGTGTCAAATTAATTGACTCGAGGGTCCTGAAAGTTTCGTCGCGATCGGCCGCTTTTTACGCGAGTTATTCTCGAAAAAACGAGGGGGTGGTTCGTTCGACCCCCCCCCCCCTATACGGGCGAGGGATAATTTATTAAAAAGCTAGGGCCTTCTTAATCCCATCTACCAGCTTCAGAACATGTATTGGGCAGATCTGGGAATACCGTATCTTAAATTTATCCCTAGAGGTGTGCCAAGGTATCCTTTCATTCATCTTGGCTTTCCCTCGGCCGAACGCTTCGTGTTTAAAAACCTTTAGAAACTAATTGAAATGAATAATTAGCGGTAAGATTATTGCAAAGGCATGAGAAATTAACGTAAAATACATCATTACCGGTCTTATAACCTCATTTCGCGTATGAAACCTGCCAGAGTCCACAGAGTTTCATATTCATCCCTAGGGTGTGCCAGGGTGGCGTGTCAGTCATCTTGAACCCCTGCCCGACCCGACGCATCGAGTTTTAAAGACATCTAAAAACTAATAACGTAAATAATTTGTGGTGAAATTGATATAATATGATCAGAAAAGAACGCAGAATAAATTAATGTCGGTCTCAAAACATTATTTTGCCTATGAAACCAGCCAGAGCCCGCGGAGTTTTAAATTCATCCCTAGGGTGTGCCCAGGGTGGCTTTTCTCATCTTGGACCTCTACCAGGCGCGACGCCTCGAGCTTTAAAGTCCTCTAGAAGCCATTGACGGACATAATTTGTGGCGAAATTAATGCGATAGGATCAGAAATAAACGCAGAATATATTGGCATCGGTCTCCAAACATTATTTTACCTATGAAACCAGCCAGAGCCCGCGGAGTTTAAATTCATCCCTAGGGTGTGCGCAGGGTGGCTTTTCTCATCTTGGACCTCTGCCAGGCCCGACGCATCGAGCTTTAAAGTCCTCTAGAAGCCATTGACGGACATAATTTGTGGTGAAATTGATACAATAGGATCAGAAATGAATGTAGAATAAGTTGGTACCTGTCTCATACCCCTATTTTGTATATGAAAGAAGTTAGAGCAAATCAAGTTCTAAATTCATCCCTAGGGTGTGCCAGGGTGTGCCCAGCTGACTGCGGGTCCAAAGATGAAAATTTTGTAGGCGTATCCTGCGCAACTTAGTCAAAAGCGAAATACAGAGGTAGTGTTTTAGTGTTTAATTTGCGCAAGCAGCGGCTCATCCGTTTTGCGTTGGCAGCAAACCACTAATCATAGTTGTTATGAATATCCAAAAGCATTTATTCAGAACACAAGCCTGGTTTTTACAAACAGTTGAGGTGATCAAGGTCATTCAAAGCATAGGTATTTGTTATTAACAGCTGGAAGTGTGCAAGGTTATTTTCTTTCGTTGTCAGTCAGGGTGAGTTGTTGGGTTTGTGCCTTGATTTCGATTTTTTCATGGAAATTATGTATTATGTAGCAAACCTATAAGTTCTATTCTAACTGTCTATATGGCGCTGCTAGGTATATCTGGTAATCTGGCTGTTAATTGTTGAGCATGAGTTGAGCATTTTTCAAAGATGAAAGAATTCCAATTTACCTGGTTTTGGGGATGAAAATATGTTACCCATTAGGTGTGATGTTCCACCCAAAATTCCCAAAAATGGAACACTGACCAGACAGGAGTGATCTGGCAGAGAAGCCGGTCCTCCTGCTCTAGTGACGCCACGAAGGCAGTCGTGTTCAGTTGCCGGTACATCCACGGCGCCAGCGTGCTGACGACAGAAAACAGAGCATTAATGACGTCATTCAACATCGCAGACAGTGTGAACAGTCCACTAGCGACTAGCATCGAACACTGGAGGCAAAAGTAGGTGGGTACATCAGAAAATAAAATAATACATAACGAAGTCCCAAGCATTATTTTTAAGTCTAAACACATGAGATATTACTGTGATGGATATTCATTGCAGCTCAGATCAGCAGCAGCATCTCCAGTTGACGTCAAAAACGGCCGAAAAATACGTGGAGTGCCGTAACTACATCTACATTTGTTCTAACTACGTCCATGTTCGCGCTGTATGTAGAATGTAGACGACAGCTCTACCTGGCCTGAGACCGCTGTCTGTCTGACAGTACCCCCGGCTGGTCTAGGGCCGCTGTCTATGTCCTCACCTGGTGTGGGGCCGCTGTCTATGTACTTACCTGGTCTGGGACCGCCGTCTATGTCCTCACTTGCTCTGGGACCGCTGTCTGGTCTGGGGCCGCTGCTATGTCCTCACCTGGTCTGGGGCCGCTGCCTGATCTGGGACCGCTGTCTGTGTCCTCACCTGGTCTGGGGCCGCTGTCTATGTCCTCACCTGGTCTCGGACCGCTGCCTATATCCTCACCTGGTCTGGGACCGCTGGCTATGTCCTCACCTGGTCTGGGACCGCTGTCTATGTCCTCACCTGGTCTGGGACCGCTGCCTGGTCTGGGCCCGCTCCCGGGTCAGCTCTCCCGGCGAGTAGAGCGCGCTGTACCGGTAAGTGACGGCCGGCCGGAGCGGCGCGTCCGGCAGCAGGTACCGCTCGATCAGCCAGCTGCGGCCGCACTCGTTCACCCGCGCCGGCGTCAGCGGCTGTGCAAAGTTGAAGTTGTCCTTGTAGGGGTGCCGCACCTCCAGCAGGTCTGTCGGCTGCGTCATCCCCAGCACCTCCAGCAGCAGGTCCTCGCCCAGACCTGCGACGGACCATAGCACCACCATGATACCCCGTGATACCCGGCGATACCGTGTGTCAGGGTCACCGAGCGCCGTCAACGGACGCCGCATGGACCGAACGGAACATTCGGTGATTCACAAAACCGGCTAAATCCTGAAACTTTCGAGCCGCATTGCACCACTGCAGGGGAATACAAACGAATCCACGGTTAAACATTTATGCCCTAGACTGCGGTGTCTGTTTGGGTGTCAGACCACATACATAATAAGAAAATCAATACACCAGTTTGACACTCACTGACTGAGGATAAAAAATTAAGAACTCCCGGAAATTGACAGAAAACTATGCCGTCTATGTTGTTGAAAGGTTGAACGACCATATGATGCTCATTCCTCAAGCGCCAAGTAGCACATTCTCGACTTTTCTCTGCGACAATGAAGCAATCGACCGCGATAGCATTACGCTGGCAAAACACAGACCAGAGGCCAGTTTTACCAACTGAAAAAAGCCGCCTGCCGGAATTTTTTGCCTGAAGACCGCTTCACATACGGAGCGTAAACGGAGCCCTATCAGCTTACGTGCCCATCGCGTTTACGCTCCGTATGTGAAGCGGTCTTTAGGCAAAAAAATTCCGACATGCGGATATTTTTCTGTTGGTAAAACTGGCCTCTGCACATCAGCGAGAAATCGCATATTGTCACACCGCTCAACTCACCAGTTAATTGCATCTAATTCAATGTTTGGGTACGTTGAAGTCATGCGGAGTGGGATCCCGTATCTACTCTAAGGATAATCTGTCATGACTCTTCAGTCTCCATCCCTCGAATCCTCAAAGACAGCCTCCGAACTTAGCCTGCGCGCTGACGCTGTCTGTTTTCATCACCCTGTCGTCTTCCCTTCCATATCGTTGGACCACGCCGGCAAATCAAACAGGCAGGGAGATTAGGCGATTACTCGTGCCGATCGTCCGGTGGCTACTGCACAGTCCACAGCTACATCATTCAGTTAGTCCAATCAGATAATTTGATATCAGCTGTCACCGACATACACACATCACCTTGTCACCCAGGCAACGATCGTCCAACCATTCGCTGAGCCTACTGTCCTGTTCCTTGGAACCCCATACTCGACCCCTGATACCAGTAGCGGCGGAACACCTTCAATTAAGGGGGGGGGGCACTGCCGACTTTTGGTCCCATTCTTTCCATGCAACGCCCATAGGGCTAATGTTAAAATGCCAAAATCAAAGGGGGGCACGGTGCCCCGGTGCCCTCCCCGTTCCGCCGCCTATGCCTGATACCCCTGGTCAGAGCACTGCGTCTACCCCAGTGTAATATCGTCGCCACCACAGCCGGTACCCGACCACACTAATTGCTCGACCGCACACTGCAGCCGCCGCATCACCTGTGCACCACCCCCGTGCACACAGACACACAGACCTGTCGACCGGCCACAGATGCACTCCATATTGATCCTGTGAACCGCGCCTACCGCGCTCCTGACGGCCGACGTCTGAGGCTATAAAATGGGCGGCCCGGTTCAGAGTCACCAGTCGGTCCTCCTCCTGATACGGATCCTGTTCACCCTGCGTCACCATGTCGTGTGAAGATTGTCACCCTTGTGCCGGTGAGAGTCGCCACGCCGCGGCCCAGTCCGGTAACAGTCGGCGGCTTACCCGAGCCGGCAAGGGTTGACCTCAGCCCCGCTCAGGCACATTGTCGCTAACAGCCGACAGTCACGATATTATTTTCTTTGTTTCAGTGTTTTATTGTTCCCAGAAAAATAGAGCAATTCTAATGAAAAATGAAAGACAATATGGCTTCTTCTAGTGATGTCAATTACGGTAAATCTGAATACCGATACCAAACCAAATACCAACCAAACCCATGGGGAAATACCGAAACCAAACCAACTTGGAAAAAATGAGGGAAATACCAACTTTATACCGATTTCTTAGCCTTTTATACATTATTGAGGGTTCATGATACCAACAAAATACCAAACACATTACGATTGAAATACCAAATACCAAGTTGGTATCGGTTTGGTATCGGTATACCAAAAAGTTGGTATCCGATTGACATCTCTAGCTTCTTCCTTCTTGAGTTGCTTGGGTATGGGTATGTTTTTCGTTCATGAATGGCGCACAAACATGTGAACGACATGTTTTTCCTTTCCACAGAAGAGAAGAGCTGTGCTGAGGGCGACTGTAGCAAGGAGGGCGGTCCGTGCGAGCCCTCAGACTGTTCCCACCACAAGAAGCCGTCGGAGGAGCACCAGCACGCGGGAGACGACTGCTGCTCCGAGAAGCAGCGCGCCACCGAGGAGGGCCAGGAGGAAGGAGAGAAGGAAAAGGATGACAACACGTAGGCCGCTCTTCGACACTGGAGTACCTAAACCAGAAAATCGCGCAAAATATTAGGACGGGTAACGGGGGAGGGAGGCGGGGGGGGGGGGGGGGCAGGAGAATTGCGTGAAAACTGTTACTAAACTGCTTGCAAATAACAGACGGCGAACAGTGACTTGAATCGGTGATATTGTCGCTTTGGAAAGGTAAATAAAAGGTGAGCATCTGGCTACTCTGTGTCGCATTGAATGGAAAACGGTTACTGGTTAGCTAATGTCTGCACTCTGCACAATTGCACCGAATGGCGGTCACTCTCGGCCAGGTCAGACGCTAGCGAAGGGCGGGGTCAGGTCGACCAATGCCAATTCAAGAAAAAACAACACATGTTTACGGAAAGGCGGACGGACAGGAAAACAATACGTGCAATATATTTCATAAGCTTGATTCAAAAATAGAAACTACATAACTTATTAATGAATTGAGTCATTGACATAAACTATAAAGTAGGTAGGTATCACTCCCATTCTATTTGAAGCTCTCAAAAAGAATACCTATCTCGATTTTAGCACCCGAAATGAGCTCGCTTTGTTGATTAGTGAAACACAATCAGCCAAGATGCGTGACATACCTTAATAGTTACCTATGCTGATATTACCATCCAGAAATATAAGTAAGTACGTATCAATGATGATTGACCCAGATAATAGGCATACCAATAACGGAATTCCCTCAATATGCTACAGTTTGTCAACCCAAACGTAATATTGCAAAGTCGGATCCATTTGAATACACAATGAATGCCGCCCAAATGAAAGATGATTGGTGAGATGGTATGATAAGCAATGTTTTGCATAAGGAAGTGGAAATGGGTATGAATGAATAAGAAGTCAATGGATTTGCGATTACGTTACACTTTCAACCGAACGTATAAGTAGGTACTTCTTAGTTCGTATACCTAACACTGAACGTACCTAAGTCACATTTAGGGGTAGGTACCGCTCGGTCAACTTGACCGAAAATTGCGCATAGTTACGATCACGAATCGTTCTTTTACAAATCAGTTCACTGAAGAAAGAGAGCGAAGGCCAATTCAATTACAACTAAGCATTTCGTCGTTTGTACGTCTACCGTCAAACAGTGCATCTATGGCAGAAAGCAAAGGGTTTGTCTAGCTCTGTCTAGTTTTAACCAGTCGAGTCCCGTTTTTGGTGACCCTGGCCGGCTGTTCGTCGTGCTGAGATCGATACCAGCCAGCGGCGGGCCAATGTCAGGTCACGGATCCCGGGAACAGCTACAGTCGCAGTTCGTGATGGCCAATACCGACTGCGGCGGCACGACTCGCCCGTAACGGTCTCCAGGCACCTACAGAGCGGTCGGTGAGCTGAACCAACTAAACCGAGCAGTGGCAGAGACACAATTATACAGCAGTTTACAGCAGTTTATAATTCCGAGTGCGGAGGCTGTTGCCCGCTTTGTCTCCATTCAAAGCGGCACACACCAATCAGAAGTCGTTCAATGTTATTGGTCATGCCATTCAATTGCTCTGCTGCCTTCTGCTGCGTTAACGCTGGACCTATCAGAACCGGCTAAGGGGATGAAGTGACTACCGACCAGTGACGAACTAGACAGTAAACCCTATACGTATACTATACACTAATAAAGCACCCAGGAGATGGACATTAGTGACCTGACGTGCCAACGACACGGCATTTGTCCCCTTCTTCTCGACGCCTGATACAGCAGGCTAAAAGGAACGCTTTGGAAAACACCCAGGCTCAATATCCATGAGCCTAATCAACATGCAACAGACTGAAAAGCCAGCTTGGAGTCGGAACATCCTGAGAGGTCATCGTTACAAGATCGAAGACTTTACCAAGCGGACCCATGGAACCGACGCCGAGACAGGTCCGTTTCAGGACCACATCGGCGTCAGCAAGACAGCTCGAAACCGAAAGGGTGCTCCTCAGTAGGCATTGGACTTGGAAGGCTCGATGCTCTGGTCAATAGCGTAGAGCCGTGCTTGTGGTGTGTGATGCCAAGAACCTGTGAAGTGGCGCTCCGGGCCCTGTTCGGTGACGGTTTTCTATCAGCATGCTGCCGGTTTTCCGACATATACAAGTTCCTTGCTTACGTTTCTTGGCCTCCCTTTGGTAAACCGCACAGACCACGTGCATTCGACCAATGAGATGCCGAAAAAATGTGAACAAGCTGGTAAATAAGGGACAGAATAGAACTCCGGATTTTGTTTTGCACACTGGAAAGTAATCGACAAAACGACGATGGTCTTACATGAATCGACAGCAGAGATGCAAATCGCTGACAGCGGCGCGAGCACTTCAACAACCAAACCAAGCAAGACACACTGCAAAACAAGATCGCGAGTCGCCATCCACAGCGCACCCATGATATCCACATCATCCTGGGGCTAGGCTAATGGGTCATCTCCTGCCCCGTTGACCCCCAGATACCCCTTCGGTCACTGGGTGGGTCACCCCTCTGGGCGGCCGCCGGGCGGCGGATGGGCGGCGGCGGCGGCGGCGGCACGCCTGGTCGATACTGCTCCGCCAGACAGACCTGGCGGGTCGACCGACCGCCGTCCAGTCGTCATTCCAGCTCGCCACGGCGCCGCCGACACACGTGCCACCCCAGCCGCTCAGCTCCCGAGACAGGCAGCATGGCGAAGGTGAGGACGCCGTGAGCGAGTCGGTCCGGCCGTGGCCAGGTCCCCGGGGCTCCCCGTGGGACAGCCGCTCCCCGGCGCTCCCGCGGGCGGTGTCCGGGGCGGCCACGACACGTGTGGACGGTGTGGTCAACGATCGGCTGACTGGGTTAAGTAACGCATTTTCAAAGTCAGCGCGTAACACGTGGGAGATGATTGACGGAAATGACCTCATTAGCCCCGATATCCATTACAATCAAACATATTAAATTTGTGCTGCACTTCCTAGAAAAAAAAAGAAACAAGAAAAAGAATGTGACAGAACTTGCAGTAACTTCAAAAGTGGTGTTTCATTTGAATGGTACCTGAAGCTTAGGCGACTTTGTTTTCGGGAATTATGCTAGCGTCGAACCCCAAATATTCCCAAGCGTCAAGCCCCAAAGGACCCAAATCGTCGGAACCCAAAGAAACCAAATCATCGAGCCCTAAACAACCGAACCCCAAAGACGATTGACTTCCTCCAACGGCAGAACAAAGACTACACGAAAACAAACAGCTAGTCTGACGGATCGATTACCATCCCCACCGGAACTCCCCGTAACCTCTGTCGAACCGACGGAGCCTCATGGGGCTCGGTCGACGATCGATCATCGGCGCCGACACGCCCTCAACCGGCCCCAGACACATTCCGACGAAGGGATACCATCGGGCGGGCCCCGCCTGCTGTCGGGACCCCACCCCGACAACATTGAGCCATGGCTAGCCGCGTGGTGTCGCTGTAACGACATCGATTCAATGGTTGTACCCGATAGCAGCAAACGTCCACGTAGTGGGCAAAAGTTTGATCTTCATGTGAATGGCGCAACACCATTTGTAGTTTGCGTATATTCCGCGTCAGTAGGAAAGGAATTCTCTCTTGGGGTTTGTGATATATTCTTATTAGAACACGTGACCTGCGTGGACCTTGGTGAGAAGTCCAACCAGAGCTCCGACAAGTGCCGGGTATGGCTGCTCGCTCGTCACAGGTTTCTCCGTACAGATACAGGTTTTCGCGTCAAAGGATGAGTACCTACTAGAGTAGCGCCAGACATAAAATGTTAAAAAAGTACGGCATTGGGGACGCTTGCACTTGTTTCTTTCGATCCCGCGCTGACATCCCAGAGACGCGGAGGCGAATCTCTCAGTCAATCTTTTAGCCATGACCAGCGGCCCCTCACGGCTCCGGCTCATGGTGACCGTCCTTTCCCGCTCGAGATAACCTTCCTTCCCACGCTCCACCCGCAGTGCGACCACTCGGAGGCCGTGCAGCCGGTGCCGGAGAGCGGCGTCAACGTCTCAGCCAGCTGCGAGGACTGCGGCAACAAGGACGAAAACTGGGTCTGCCTTCACTGCTACAAGGTAGGTGTAGCTTCCACAAGGCGGTAGTAGTGAAGTAACATGGGTGTAATGACCACCGAGGTTTGTCAGTGCCCGGCACTGTTGATCGATCACGGCGTACCCACACGCACCTACGCCCTATACACACAGTCCAGCGTGCCACATGGTGCCGTTGGGGCCGCCGCTGCCTCTACAGGTCGCCCGTCCCCACCCCCTCCGCAGCGCGCCCTACAGGTGGTCGGTGGCCGGCCGCCAGGCGGCGCTGGTGACGCCACGGTACTGCAAGAAGCGCAGCGGTATATACTGCCTTGGGTGCAGCTAGGACACTGCGCAGACAGGCACGGTAAAAGTCGTGAAATGAGCTATGTCCTACAAAAAAGCGCCCCTAAAGAATGGATGTTCCTAGAGCAAGCATCCATGGTTCAACATCAAAATGTATACTACACGAGATTCGAAAAGTTCCTTTACCTGAGCATAAACGCCACCGGTCCTTGGCCGTTCGTACCGCAATACTCATTAGGTACAATCTCGATTGTGGCCAGTTTCTCGTCCATCAAAACATTAAATGCAACTTCAAGCCTCGTCAATATCACTGACTGAGGACATCTGGTTCGACTTCAGTTCACCAGTCAACTGCCGCCTGTACCAATTAAACCTCGTCGTTCATCGCCCATTCCTCACTCACTCGTTGCCTGCTTTTGGTTAGACCGAGTCAGCCCCATGATCATAAACGCATCGCACCACAGCTCGAACCGGTGAAAACCGGCCGACGTCGTCACTTAATTCCTCGCAGTGTGCGACCGGAGAAGAGCACATACAAAAACCGTGTTACTGCTCCGATTCCTGCGCTCAGCCAGCCACCATAGCAACAACAGCAAAACAACAAAAAGGGTCGCTAAACGTGCAGCTGCGTGGCCTGATGGCTTTTGATCAGTCACGGAATGTCGCTGTGCATTAGTTTCCAACGGAGCATTAAACCAAGCGAAGTTAGTCGAAACCACGCTGACATACATGTTCACATCCTTAGCATCGAGCCCTGGACAGATGACTAGATGGGCCACCCTGCCTCACGTCTCGCATCTAAAAGTAGCGTCCGGAGACGTTTTCAGGCCCGCTACAGGCGGTGACGCCCACCGTTTCCCTACCAAAGACGGTAACGCGTAACGCCCGCCGTTTCCTCCGGCAGACGCTTTGTGGCCGGTTCGCCAAGGAGCACATGCTGCAGCACAGTTCGGCGGCCGGCCACCAGGTGGTGCTGAGCGCGGCCGACCTCTCCACATGGTGCTACGGCTGTGACTCCTACGTCGACAACGACAAGACCCAGGCGGCCAAGGACAGCGCGCACGCCAGCAAGTTCGGCAACTGAGCGGCCAGAGAGGTGCCTGGTGACCCGCCGCCGTCCGCGGTCCGCCCCCGCCCGCGGCGGGAGGGCGGACCGCCCCCGCCCCCGCCCACAGCGGCGGGAGGGCGGACCGCCCCCGCCCCCGCCCACAGCGGCGGGAGGGCGGACCGCCCCGCCGACCGGCCGGCCCGCCCCGCCGGCAGCACAGAGAGAACCGGCCGACAGAGTCGATGCTTCGTGCACTGGTGTGAACGACGAAAACATGAACCGTGATAACAGAGAATACATATAACAGAGAATAGACAGTATTTTCAAGGTGGGCGGCGAGAAACGTGGTTTACTCCGATGGTTCAGTTTGGGCAGGTCAGTCACTAACCCGTGGTCTCAAAATTCAGCTTACTTAACCATAGAAAACAAATGGGATAGACCAACTTTCTGCCTTTCAGGTTTTTGAACCACCTTCCACTGCAAACTTTCATAATCCATTATCGATCTTAGCTAATGCATAACTGGCGAAGGAGATGAGCTACGATTCGTTGACTGGTCACTGATGGATGCATCAAAGTTTCAACTCGCGGTTCCGTTCCGTCTTTTCCATCCTGAGGATATTCAAATCATTTTCCTACACGACTGTAATCTCTGATCCGGACTGGACGGTCACCTTCATCCGACGTAAGTCCTCAGGAGCGAGTTCATCGTGCGGTGGAGTGACCCGTTAGCTTGGCTGGGTGGCCTGTCCATCGAGACGGGCTCAGCCGCGGCGGCACACCAGAATGTCCCCCCCCCCCCACACACACACACACATCAATGTCTCCCACTAATTCCTAGCGCCATTCCAGCTCCTAAAGTCTTGTTAGAACGAAAGGACCTAGCCCAAGAAAACAAACATTAAAGTTACAACTAATTTGCGGCACCTGGCCGGACCAGTGCGAGGGACGAAAAGGTCGAAGAGGAAAAGATCAACAACATCCATCGATTGCGCCAAAGTGTAACAGCCACCAACGCAGCTAATGCACCAGACATACCACGCTATACAAGACCAGTAGCCAATCATGACATCAGAAAGGAGCAGCCAGGTAACTTGGATTAGGCAAGCAGTTACAGCACATGCTTTCGGAAAAAAAGCAAGTGATCATTGATCAGCCTACCTTGCTGTTGCTCCGTTAACCCGCGCCCGGCTGGGGGTCCTGGATTTCCACGCCCTGCTGGGGGGGGGGGGGTGTTTGAACACCCCCCCCCTTCTAACTCGGCTCCTGGGCCACGTAGCGATACGCGGAAGGCGGCGTTCGAAAGCGCGCCAAAAATAATGACAAAATTACTTCTGTCACTTTTTTGGTCAGGTCAAAGGTCAGGTCACCAGAGGTCATTGAAGGCAAAATTTCGCCGATTTTCAGGTCGAATGTCGACAATTTCCAGGAAGCCAACGCATAACTCGGGAACCAATAAAGCTACAGCGCCGCGGAAAAGCGCATTCGATAGCCCTATTAACGCCCTTTCTGAATAATTCACTCAGATTTGACCTAACGTCAACGGTTTTGCCTGCAGGGGGCAAAAACTGCAAAAATAGCCGATTTTTTCGGAAACAGTTTTTCTACAATAACTTTTGACCCAAGCCTTGTCGAGCTTACTTTTAACCCTATTAGTGGCAGGGGGGGGGGTTGTTTTTATCCACCCCTCAGGTTTTTCGGGAATATCTCCGAAACCGCTGAAGCTACGATGCTGAAATTTTCTGACTTTTCCTAAAACTAAATTGGGCACATTCCCTAAAAATTTCAAGTTCATAACTTTACCAGGGGCGGCTCCAGAGCACTGGGAATTGGGGGGTCCTATTCGTGAAGCGAGTCATTTGGGCGAAGATCACGATGCTGCACCAGTTTTACGAACAGTGAATGAAAGGTATCATGTGATAACATATACAAAGTTATTGTGCATCCTCTTTTGACACGTTTTTGCTATAATAGGCGGATCCAGGCGTCCAAAAAGGGGGGTTATTTTTTACCTCCCAACATAGGTGCCCTGACACCGCCTATGCATGACCAATACAATTTTAGTCGTTCTCGCATAAGAAAATTGTAACATAACAAGACCATTGCCACCCTTTTTAGAAACAGTACCAACAAAAACCTTATTTACTATACTTTTTGTGTACCCCCAATCTCAATGATCTGTATCCGCCTATGATTTTTGAAAATGCATATTTTTAGGATCCATGTGAATTCCTGGTTCATTCTCTATCGATCGGCAAAAGTTGCGTTAAGATTGGTTCAGAAACCTGGCCGTGATAAACAGTCTAAAACGTATCTGCAATTTGCCCGTTTTTACCCCCTCTACCCCCCTATTGACATTTTTTAATTTCATTTTTTTTAGAAATGTAGATCTCGTTGAGCCAAATCGAATGCCGTTTGAATTTTGAAAATCGGCCGGTTAGATCTCGAGATATCAAGGGGGGGTCGTAAACAGCCCCCCCCCCCCTGCCACTAATATGGGGTAGCCAGGAGCCTGCCACTAATAGGGTTAACGGCATCGTGTTCCTCTTGTCAAGACGCATCGAATGAACTATAACTTGACCTTGAAAGGTCAACTTGAAAATTTGACCTTGAGGTCAAGGTCATGACCTGACCGGAAAGGGTCATGTTGCAATGTTGCATATCAGTCGATCCGTATCGTCGAGCTGAGCACATCTAAGGCGTTTTCACCGCTCTAGCATGTCTCTATCAAAAGTTATTTGCGAAAAACTGTTAGACACAATTCGTGACCTGAGATGACCTCAGGGGCATAAATAGGGGTCACGGACACCATTTTCATGTTCATTGTGTCTAAACTACTTGTAATTCAGTGTTTGGGAGTGTTTATAATGTCTTTCGTCCAAAAGAGGCGCATTTCAATATTCTCCCATTGACTTATAATGGGGAGGTCGCAAAATTGACCTGACCTTAGGTCACCGGTATCATAATTCCGAGATAAACATTTGATAGATACTGTTACCCTTATCAATCGCTGAAAGTTTCAAAGCGATCGGTCACTCGGTGTAACTATGGCAGACATTGAAACTTTTTATGAGGTGAGGTCACTTCAAGTGACCTGGTGACCTGACCTTGAATGACCTTGGTCTGAAATTTTCACAACATGTGTAGAATTGATGTATGATAAGGTGTACCAAAAACGGCAGCGCTCCGCGCCGCCGTTTTTGAGATATTCGCAAAAAAACCACAAGGGGGGGGTGTTCAAACACCCCCCAGCAGGGCGCGGGTTAACAAGGACAAAATATCCTTTTTCTCCGATTTGTTATTGAACCGAAGAAAACGATCCAACCTTAGACGTGGGACATTCTTTCGAACAAATGTAACGAATGGTGCACAGAATCCATTGCGGTAGAACATCTTGCGCCAAGAATCACCATCAAGTTTACCTAAAAAAACACAGCAACATTCGGTCACAGGTTGCCAACCTGAAATATCTTTGCAAGAAACTCCTGAACCATACCAAGGACCCGCCCAGAACCGACCGTCGTCGGTAGTATCCAGTCCGTTCCGGACGAGACCGGGTCGGTCCGGAGTCCAGACAAACTGTGCCAGGTATCGACCGAAGGGGACGCCAGCCGGGCAGCGCAGTGCATGACTCAGGCCGGTCGGTGCACCCTCTCCGGCGCCGGCACCGCGCGGAACCGATCAATGGGCGCCGTACCGCCGCGCCAGGGATAAACAATGACCACAACCCTTCGTACATGTGTGTGCGGGGTTCGTATTCACCACGGGGGTCGAATGGACTTAACCCTCGCCCGCACATGGGGGGTGGGGTGCCACCCCCCCCCCCCCTCCGGTAGTCTTTCTGCTCTGCACTCGACATTTTTAGAGCTAGAAGGCTGATTTTTCGTATAGCTGCTCCTCTATCCTTTCTTGATGTCCACTGAAAATTTCAAGTTTCTGTGATTTTTGGTTTCGGAGATATGACCTTATTTTTCAGGTCATGTCATGACTCAAATGGCCAATTCTCAACATCTTGCGTTTGCCATGGGCCTTGTGGGCTTTTGACACCCTGATTTCGGCCTTTTTTGCCAGTCTTACCTCCCACCTATCATGGAACATGTTGTTCGACGATGTACAGGGGTCAAGGTCAGGGTCAAGGTCAACCTAGGTCATCTAAGATAATTGCGTTTTAGGCAAGCTGAATTTACTTTTTGTGAAGTTTTTTGACTGCATTTTTGGTAAAAGCTTCTCAGATCATGATTGCATGTAATATGGACCCAAAAACAATCGGTGCACACATCAGTATACACACAGACACACACAGACATACAAACACATATAATTGACCTTGACCTAACTTGACCTGAAATGACCTCAGCAGCAAAAACCTGGTCAGGTAGTGTGAGAAAGAGGTTCTAGCTGGCTTGGCACCAGAAAACGGCATCGTCATCGGTATATGATAAGCAGCGCACTTGATATCCAACGGTGACCCAAAACAGCAACATTTTTTAGTTTGACCTGACCTGGAAGGTCAATGACTGACCTGAGGAGGTAAAACTGGGTATCATTGGATTCGTCTCTTCCCAAAGAATCTTTTTGGTCTTTACCGCTAAGCTCTATCTCCAACAGGAACGAAATGGCGCGGGGGTGACACCCCCCCCCCCCCCATGTGCGTTCTAGGATGGGAAAATGGCATGTGCGGGCGAGGGTTAAAAGGTCCCAGCACACGAGTCTAAGGATACCTACTAAGGGGAGAGATAACGAAAGCTAGAAGCGTCGTGATCTGATTCACGTGACTGCCATGGACGAGAAAAGATATGGGATGATAGACACTCAATAACCATGAACAGTGAACACTTCTTGGCCAAAATAGAGGTCAGGACTCATCTTTCTAATCCTTGAAGTCGATTTGTTTGGATAAGAGCTGCAACTATGAAAAGCAGCGATGGGAAAGCCACTCACGATTATGTAAGTTAACTGGTAGTTAATATTGAACTTCCTGCGAGTTACGTTATTAAATGCACACACCGTGCACATGCGTGCGATGAACCGATAAAAATTGGGCAAAATGTATCAATTACAGTTCAAAGATAAATTAAATAACACAAAAAGAAGCAAGCATTCGTAACATCCAGCACGGACTATTCTTTGGGACAGGTGTACCGAAAAAAACTCTGTCGAGTGTTGGCAATACGCCATTCGCTATAAGTGACCTTTATCAGCTCCAATATTTGAATATAGTGCATGGTAGCTTCTAACTAACAGCTGATATTGATGCTCAGTGGTCAGTGATGAAACACTGACGAGCTATTTAACTAGCACTCCGCTAACGGCTACCAGTATTGATATGACCTAGCTCAGCTAGATCTGCTACAAACCGAAAAAAAAAACATGAAGCCTTAACAGTCAGTTAAGAAAGGTTAATTGGTGGTGGAGTGTTCGCAGTCCAGCACAATTCTCCACCCGTGAACACAGTAAAGCTGCAACAATACATGTATTTAGGAGTTGCAGTAAGAGGGAAGTACAGATGAGATTCTAATTAGAGGTGGCGCCACGATCTACACAAGAGCCACGGATTATCAAAGGCAAGCGAATCAAGATGGCAGCACCGTTCGTTGCACTGCTATGGAAATCCGAAACTATTGGTCCCTGGTCAGATTGGTAGACAGGTCAGCTGAAATTAACCCACCAGCTATCTTATTCCCTACCGCAAAAAAACCAACCGCCAGACTACTCTTATCATAAGGAATTGAGTAATTATCAGCGCCCTCCGATTCACTCGCTGATCCCACTCTCATCCTCCTCCTCCGTTCCTATCTCTACTTTCTCCACACCCTCCTTCAGCCCCCCCCCCCCCCCAGCGTTCAGTGGGGCGCAGAGACACTCACCTGAACCCCAGCCCATGGTGTTGATGAGCAGGGGCGCCGGGTCGGTCTCGGCCAGCTGTCGGTAGGCGGTGGCCAGCTGGTGCGCCGCGTCCAGGTAGCCGGACGGGTCGTTCGCCACCGACACCTCACCCAGGAACACACTCCTGGAGGAGGGGCGATCGGAGACGGGGAGATACGGTCCGGTTAGAAAAGACTATAGTTGTAGAAAATAACTCAATGGCACTTCATAGTGACGCGCTTTACATGAACAGCTGAGTGTAGCAGGCTTGGTTCATCTCGTAGAACATCCAATTTAATGAGTCAGATCATTGGTGACAGGCGCGGTATATAAAAAGGACATCGAGACCTAAATCAGTACATCATTGAGGTCCAATGCACTGTTTCTCAAGCAGACAGGATACATTTGAGCTGCCGTGCAAAGGCAAAAACGCATATCTAACATTTTTCTGTCAGCACAAAGTTTTACACAGGGGCGAGTTTTGTGTTTTTCGGTCATTGTGGTCTTCCATTGACCAGAAGCGCAGCAATGTATATCATTCCAAACAGAATAACGCGCTCTACCTATGTACATGCGTATCATAGTCCAAAAGTAATAAATATTCATATCTACTATTATAAATCTTAAAAAGTCCGCCGCCGCCCACGCCCACGCCGCCGTCGGGGTTACTCCCAAAAAGGCTTATCGCGGCGCCGTCGATTGACGCAGGACGGTGAAATTTTGACGACTCGTGGGTCACGTCATTCAACAGGTCGTATTAAATTTTGGGCACGATGCGGCCGGGGGTGCGCCCGTGGCGCGTGCTCATGTGCGCCATAGGGTTAGCATTAGAATCGGCAAAAACAGGCCATTGCTCGGGAACGGTAAGGGCTACGGGGATGAAATTTTCACACCAAGTCGAGCGCGTGCACTCAATTGTCGTATTAAATTTTCGAGGGTGTGGGTTCAGCGGTGTGCACGTGATGGGGCCGCGACCGGCGCCGAGCAGAGGGCACGTGCTTAAGGCTCAGTTGTTCGCTTAGAAAACTGAGTGAAAAGCATCAGAGCCAACGAAGGCCGACACAAGGCACCGCTCGCCAAGGGGATTTGCCAGTAAATACAATTAATTTGTTTTTGCAATATCTCAGCCGTTTCTGGGCCGATTTAGCTGAAACTTGGACTGTCGGTGGTAGTGTAGTGTAGGGTAGGGTAGGGTAGGGTAGGGTAGGGGATTGTAGGGTAGGGTTGGGTAGGGGATTGTAGGGTAGGGTAGGGTAGGGTAGGGGATTGTAGGGGATTGTAGGGTAGGGTAGGGTAGGGTAGGGTAGGGTAGGGTAGGGTAGAGTTAGGTAGGTAGGGTAGGGTATGGTAGGGTAGGGTAAGGTAGGGTAGGGTAGGGTAGTGTAAGGGTAGGGTATGGTAGGGTAGGGTAGGGTAGTGTAAGGGTAGGGTAGGGTATGGTAGGGTAGGGTAGGGTAGGGTAGGTTAGTGTAGGAGTAGGGTAGGGTAGGGTAGGAGTAGGGTAGGGTAGGGTAGGGTAGGGTAGGGTAGGGTAGTGTAAGGGTAGGGTATGGTAGGGTAGGGTAGGGTAGGGTAGTGTAAGGGTAGGGTAGTGTAGGGTAGGGTAGGGTAGGGTAGGGTATGGTAGGGTAGGGTAGCGTAGGGTAGGGTAGGGTAGGGTAGGAGTAGGGTAGGGTAGGGTAAGGGTAGGGTAAGGTAGGGTGGGGTAGGGTAGGGTAGGGTAGGAGTAGGGTAGGGTAGGGTAGGGTAGGGTAGGGTAGGGTAGGGTAGGGTAGGGTAGGGTAGGTAGGGTAGGGTAAGGTAGGGTAGGGTAGGGTAGGTAGGGTAGGGTAGGTTAGTGGTAAGGTAGGGTAGGGTAGTGTAGTGTAGGGGTAGGGTAGGGTATGGTAGGGTAGGGTAGGGTAGGGTATGGTAGGGTAGGGTAGGGTAGGGTAGGGTAGGGTAGGGTAGTGTAGGGGTAGGGTAGGGTAGGGTAGGGTAGGGTAGGGTAGGGTAGGGTAGGGTAGGGTTGCATTGAGTAACATCCTAACTTACAAAGGGCTCGAACAACTCGCATGCATCACCATCATACTTTACAGTTCAATTAAAAGCAGTTACCAAGTTCTACACAAATAATACCAATAAAAATGCAACTTTCTTCACCCAAACTAATGCATCCGTTAATCATACATATCAAAATATACAGTTATCGCGTGAACCTGTACCTCTAGTCTACTATTATAAATCTTAAAAAGTCCGCCGCCGCCCACGCCGCCGCCGTCGGGGTTACTCCCTAAAAGGCTTATTGCGGCGCTGTCGATTGACGCAGGAGGGTGAAATTTTTACCAGTCGTGGGTCACGTAAAAAAACAGGTCGTATCAAATTTTGGGCACGATGCGGCCGAGGGTGCGCCCGTGGCGCGTGCTCATGTGCGCCATAGGGTTAGCATTAGAATCGGCAAAAACAGGCTATTGCTCGGAAACGGTAAGGGCTACGGGGGTGAAATTTTCATGCCAAGTCGAGCGCGTGCACTCATTTGTCGTATTAAATTTTCGACGGTGTGGGTTCAGCGGTGTGCACGTGGTGGGGCCGCGACCGGCGCCGAGCAGAGGGCACGTGCTTTAGGCTCAGTTGTTCGCTTGCAGAACTGAGCGAAATCAGAGCCGGGAGGTCGTTGACCTTTGACAACGAAGGCCGACACAAGGCACCGCTCGCCAAGGGGATTCGCCAGTAAATACAATAAATTTGTTCTTGCAATATCTCAGCCGTTTCTGGGCCGATTTAGCTGAAACTTGGATTGTCGGTGGCAGTGTATGGTAGGGTAGGGTAGGGTAGGGGTAGGGTAGGGTAGGGTAGGGTAGGGTAGTGTTGGGTAGGGTAGGGGTAGGGTAGGGTATGGTAGGGTAGGGTAGGGTAGCTTAAGGGTAGGGTAGGGTAGGGTAGGGTAGGGTAGGGTAGGGTAGGGTAGGGTAGGGTAGGGTAGGGTAGTGTAGGGTAGGGTAGGGTAGTGTAGGGTAGGGTAGGGTAGTGTAGTGTAGGAGTAGGGTAGGGTAGGGTAGGTTAGGGTAGTGTAGGGTAGGGTAGGGTAGGGTAGGTAAGGGTAGGGCAGGGTAGTGTGAGGGTAGGGTAGGGTAGGGACTAGGGTAGGGTAGGGTAGGGTAGGGTAGGGACTAGGGTAGGGTAGGGTAGGGTAGGGTAGGGTAGGGTAGGGTAGTAGGGTAGGGTAGGGTAGGGTAGGGTAGGGTAGGGTAGTAGGGTAGGGTATGGTAGGGCAGGGTAGGGTAGTGTAGGGTAGAGTTAGGTAGGGTAGAGTTAGGTAGGGTAGGGTAGGGTAGTAGGGTAGGGTATGGTAGGGTAGGGTAGGGTAGGGTAGTAGGGTAGTAGGGTAGGGTAGAGTAGGGTAGGGTAGTAGGGTAGGGTAGGGTAGGGTAGGGGTAGGGTAGGGTAGGGGTAGGGTAGGGTAGGGGTAGGGTAGGGTAGGGGTAGGGTAGGGTAGGGTTGTGTTCAAAAAGGGCCCAACATACAAAACACTTGAACACCCCGCAACTATCACCATCCCTTACAATTCAATTAAAAACAGCTACCCAAATCTACCCAAATAATACAGCTAAAAATACAAGTCATCACCCAAAGTAATGCACCCGTAACATAACATAAATCAAAACATACAGTTATCGCGTAAACCTGTACCTCTAGTCTACTATTATAAATCTTAAAAAGTCCGCCGCCGCCGCCCACGCCGCCGTCGGGGTTACGCAGTCGGTGTTACTCCCAAAAACGCTTATTGCGGCGCCGTCGATTGACGCAGGAGGGTGAAATTTGCACGACTCGTGGGTCACGTAATTCAACAGGTCGTATTAAATTTTGGGCACGATGCGGCCAGGGGTGCACCCGTGGCGCGTGCTCATGTGCGCCATAGGGTTAGCATTAGAATCGCGACCGGCGCCGAGCAGAGGGCACGTGCTTTAGGCTCAGTTGTTCGCTTAAAAAACTGAGTGAAAGCATCAGAGCCGGCAGGTCGTTGACCTTTGACAACGAAGGCCGACACAGGGCACCGCTCGCCAAGGGGATTCGCCAGTAAATACAATTAATTTGCTTTTGCAATATCTCAGCCGTTTCTGGGATGATTTAGCTGAAACTTGGACTGTCGGTGGTAGTGTAGTTTAGGGTAGGGTAGGGTAGGTAGGGTAGTTGTAGGGTAGGGTAGGGTAGGGTAGGGTAGGGTAGGGTAGGGGTAGGGTAGGGTAGGGTAGGGTAGGGTAGGGGATTGTAGGGTAGGGTAGGGTAGGGTAGGGTAGGGTAGGGTAGGGTAGGGGATTGTAGGGTAGAGTAGGGTAGGATAGGGTAGGGTAGGGGATTGTAGGGTAGCGTAGGGTAGGGTAGAGTAGGGTAGGGTAGGGGTAGGGTAGGGTAGTGTAGGGGTAGTGTAGGGGTAGGGTAGTGTAGGGGTAGGTTAGGGTAGTGTAGGGGTAGGGTAGGGTAGGGTAGGGTAGGGTAGGGGATTGTAGGGTAGGGTAAGGTAGGGTAGGGTAGGGGATTGTAGGGTAGGGTAGGGTAGGGTAGGGTAGTGTAGGGGTAGGGGTAGGGTAGGGTAGTGTAGGGTAGGGTAGGGGTAGGGTAGGGTAGGGTATGGTAGGGTAGTGTAGGGGTAGAGTAGGGTAGGGTAGTGTAGGGTAGGTTAGGGTAGGGTAGGGTAGTGTAGGGGTAGGGTAGGGTAGGGTATGGTAGGGTAGGGTAGAGTAGAGTAGGGTAGGGTATAGGTAGGGTAGGGTAGGGTAGTGTAGGGTAGGGTAGGGTAGGGTAGGGTAGGGGTAGGGTTAAGTTCAAAAAGGGCCTAACATACAAAACACTTGAACACCCCGCACCGCACCTATCACCAACCCTTACAGTTTAATTAAAAACAGCTACCCAAATCTATCCAAATAATACATCTAAAAATACAAGTCAATCACCCAAACTAATGCACCCGTAACATAACATAACTCAAAACATACAGTTATCGCGTAAACCTGTACCTCTAGTCTATATTATAAATCCTAAAAAATCCGCCGTCGGGGTAACGCCCAAAAACGCTTATAGCGGCGCCGTCGATTGACGCAGGGGGGTGAAATTTTCACGGCTCGTGGGTCACGTCATTCAACAGGTCGTATTAAATTTTGGGTACGA